TGGTTTCGAGGATTCCCGAGAAGGATAAACACATACACACAGACTACACGGGGAAAAAAAGCAAGCGTTTTATTAACTACAGACATGCATTACACTAAGGGTGTTTTGCAAAGCAATTGTCTTACCAACCCGAGGACTGTGAGGAAGATGGACCATCTGTACATTCTTGTATCATCCTGCACTGCGAGCTCAGCCCAGCAGTTGGTAGGTGCCAGCCTTACATGGGTGTCCCCACAGAGGCAACGGTGGCCTTGCCATACACCAGCCCACTGCCCTTTGGGAAATCCTGGTATTTATACATTTGCAGAGGAGCGAGTTTCAACACGTGTGGCCAGCGAGTGTCGGAACACGCCTTGGTTGCCACCTCTCAACACAGGGAGTATGGTGTATGCACCCACTGGCCAGACGTGCTGCACACACCACAGCCTTCCTGTCTATTGGTTCGTAGGCTCTGTTCATGTGGCATCTTACCATAATCCAGCAGTCAGATACCAACTATGCTTAAGCCAAATAGCAGAATGTTACAAGGCAAACAAAATTGTGAATTGTGCTTTATATTCCTCCATTACTTCACGTCTTCCACATCCTCCCCTAACCTTGATCAACTTTCTTATCTCTGTGGGCTATTTTCTCTCACCCAGCATAGTATCTCTTACCCAGCCATCCGTTTTCTCCTATGCTAACTGCAGTTTTCTCACAGACCAAAATTCCATCTGTTAACCCCTCTGTATACATATGGGAAGCAAGTGATTAAGATGAGCTCTGAGATAAGATGTGACATGGATATCCCCTTAAAGCTGAGGAGTTGCTTTTTTGCGAGGTAGAGGTGGTGACTTTACTTTTTTTAGCACTGTCATTTTATCCATATAAAGTTTATGCAATCTACAGACACATAGAAAGGTTCATACCTTTCCGAAGTAACCAGTATTTTCAAAAGTAACCACTTCAGGAATTAATACCTAGTTTTGTGCAATGTACTGTAATACATTTGACTTTTGTACCATGGCTTGGTGCTTTTTAAGATGCACATGGTAATTCTTTCACTGTCTTTTAGACACTGTGCTCTGTGATATGCGCTTCAGGGACACATTACAAACCACATCTTGCATGCCTGGCTAAATGGAAGCATTCTGCTCATGGGATCTCTTTGAGCTTCAGACTCTGCAGACCTGTGGCCCTCCTCCTGTGGCTGTAGGAACGTGTAAGCCGTAATACAGTTGACTGTTCAGTGTCTACAACCTGAAATCATGAGGTCTGTGAGCAGTCTGTGAATTAAACCTCAGTCTTTGTAGTGCAAATATCCTGAAACCTCAAAAATAGCAGTCTGAGGAGGCTTTATGCATAGTAGGCATAGAAGCGTAGTTTTTCAGACCATCAGGGCTTAGGCCTAGTATGCTAGTGTTGTCTTGACTAAAAAGTGATATCCAATGTAGCAGTACTTGTTCGTAACAATGGAAAAAATTGTGGTAAGGTTTTTATTGGCTCAAACAGAGGTATGAAAAATTAACAGGAGAAACATCTGCAGCTGTTACAGCATGTTTGAATTGAAGTAAAACCAGAAAAGAGCAAGGAACAGGAAGCTTTCTCCTTTAATTAAAAGAAAAAAAAATTGAAGGGGCAAGTGTGTGTTTTAAGATACATTAATATTATGAGAGAACACTGAAAGGAATGAAAATAGCCATTTCGTATTACTTTTAGAAATTGTTGTGCTGCTTTTTTTTCCCCTTTAAGTAAGACTTGGCCAAACTACTAAGTCAAAAGCTCTTTTTTATGGCTCTCTGTTGGGAAGTATATGCTATACAGAAATGTTTTGCTTACCAAAATACCTGAAGTTAGGAGTGTTAGCTGATTGATGTGGGTGCTACTTTACTAACATTGGTAAATCAAGCTTATAAGTCTAACGCATGCTCCTCTGGCCTGTGCCCTTTTACCTACTTTGCTAGCAAGCACGTGATAGCAGAGGAATGCAAAGGAGGGGAAGTGTACAGCAGCTTATAATTAAATTGGCCTTTAAGGAGGAAAATAAGTGTTCGAAGAAGAAAGGGACTTCAGGAAGTCTTCAGTATTCAGCCATCATAATTCAGAACAGTCTTAAAGGCTTACAGTTCTTTTTAAGTAAAGGAAAAGAATATGAAAAGAAACAAGTCATTTGATTGTTTTACATCTTAAGGTCAAGTAATACAGTCCTGGAACTGACTTGTCTTTGTTTTCAGGGCTTGACTACTTGATTTGGCATTAATTCTTCCTGGATTAATGTTTCTTCATTTGGGAATAAAGAATATTTTCCTCATTGAAGCTTACTTAATTTTATGATCAGGCTAAGTTTTAATTCATTAAAATATTGGGTTGACTGTTTATGATTAATGGTATTTATAATCTTTTGCTGCCTCGCACAGTAGAAAAGCATATGCCTAAAAAGGGAAGGGTTCCTGAAATTCTTTCTCTTCAGAAACAGAGAGGAGGATAGTAACAAATGCCCAGGCTACAGGGGAGTTGAAGGGTAATAGAAACTAGTTGATCTGGTATTAAGACACTGGCATTCCAGAACACAAAATTTGATGAGTGAACTGGAGAACCTGTTGGCTCTTCTTGAGACACATGGATTTGTCTGATTCTCCATATGGGGATCTGGTTGTTTTTGTTGTGTGGTTTTTGGTTTTGGTTTGTTTTTTTTTATCCCATTCTTAATAGTACTGATAAACATGATGAATTCTTAACTTTGAGTGATTTCCTCTTTTGCAAATCCTGATGAGTCCAGTGTATACCATGTATTACTGCTGCCTGTCTCTATTTTATTGCCCTCTTGCAGTTTTGTTCTCGGCGTCAAACTAGTGATGCACAATTGAATGAATGGTTATCTGACTTTGACTTCCTGATACTTGTCTATAGCAAGTATCCTATGAATAAGCCGTTGTTAATGGCAGAGTCATTAAGTACTATGAATTGCAGTTGTTACTAGGGCATACAGGGGTTGTCTTAAAGGTTTTGAAACTTGTGTTCAAAGCTGATTTGGTTTCTTTGTTGTCCTAATCAGACACTGTACATGCGTAGTATGACACTGTGAGCTTTACCTACCCTTCTGGAAACCCAGAAGCCTGATTCACCCAGAACTTAATATCTAAAACTTGAGTAGTGGCTGATGAATTTGGGAGATCTGTGAATTATTGTCAGCAATAGTAGTAGTTGTACTGCAGAGGTTGATCGTTGCAGGCTGATATAGGGATAGGCACTTTAAATATTGCAAAGAGTCACTACCTGTTGATCAGCAACCTTACTAGATGCTGTGCAACAGCATTTATTTTGTTCATCGCTGCCTAATACTCGTTCTCTTCCTATATTGTGTAGTTATTTCATAAGTCTGCTGTTACTGTAGCATTCTCAGTGCTTACATTCCCTAGTTGTCTACTCATACACCTTTGCACCCTTTCTTTGTGCTCCTGCTCCCAATGACTTTGACATAGTAGAATACTTACAGACTAGAGGAGAAGCACTACAGTCATAATAAACTGCTTTTGAAGTGCCCAGCTAAACTGCACTAGTTAGCCCGCACGTGCTGTTCAACAGGGGATGAACATTTACCAAAATTTAAGTTTAATTACAAAGTATAAGCTTCAGGTTTGCAAAATAAATGTGAATTTCAGCCTTTAGGATTCAAAAAGCGTGAAGTATTTGTGCTTTCTTCTGATTTTGCTTAAATAAAAATGCCAGTGCCACCTTAAAATGCTTGATATTGATAACGTTGTGTTTTGTACCAGTAAAAATGTGGAATTAAAACTTGCCCTTGAATCTTGACCTAGAGATGGGATTGTGGATTCCTCTACCTTTTTGTTATACTTCTAAGAGAATGTTGTCTTTAGGATTATGCAGAGAAGTTTTGGTAAGCTAATAAATGAATGTGGACAAAACACTTTGCAATCACAATGGTCTCCTCAGGAATATGTCATTTGGACCATTTCAATGTTCTATATAGAGCCTGTCTCCAAAAATCTATGTCCTGATTGTAAGTACTTGAACAACATTACTCTGAGTTAATGATGAGTACAGGTACCTTCCAGGATATTTATGTAGAAATGCTCATTACAGAAAGAAAGAAGCTATGAAGATGAGCAGATAAATAAGAGCAGACAGTTCAATTTGAATTGGCTATATCCTCAGACAGAGTTGAGACATAAATATATAAACAGAATCACAGTGGCATTTCTGTTTTAACTTCCAGTTGTTTTTATTTGAGCCTGTCCATTATGATGGTCTTTTATCTATATTGGCACTGTTGATGTTTATTTGGGTAGTTAAACTAAGCTGCAGTTCAATTAAATTTCCTCTTAATTTCAGATTTATGTGAAGGTCTTTTTTCTGACAGTTTTGATTTGGTTGCCTCACTCTGCACAGTTTTGATTTTGCACCTATTTACAAGTCAGAAATCGGAGCCACAGGAGCTATAGTGTCTTATATTGCTGTGACTAATCAGCTTCAAATTAAGATATGAAAAAAATTTCAGAGGAATATATGGCCAGAAGCAGCTTTCTTTTGCTAGCTGAGGTGAAGACTTTAAATACCTTTTGTTTCAAGATGATGACAAAAAAAAATTTCTGAATCTCCTTTATCATTGCAGAATGAGATACTAGGTACCTGTGATATGCTTCTTCTAAATATTATGACTTTAATTTTCTGCTCTGCTCTGAATTTTTATATATTGCATATATGCATTATATTCAGCTTGCTGTAATCCCGCCAAAAGGCCTAAGTTACATGAGAGTGTTTTGCTTCCATTTTCAGCTATTGTGGTTAGAAGAGGTTCCTTGGTTAACATACTGGACACTCAGACTGAAGCACAAGCACAGTGTGTTAAGGAAGAGGCAAGTACTGTATGTAAATGTGGCATACTTTGAAATATTTCCCAAAATTACCATGTAGAAGATATCTTGCTAGAAATAGACTAGCTCCTAATTCCTTTGAAAAAAAGGAAATAATTTTTGAACTTTGCTTTTTCACAGAACTCTCTCTGAAGATGGCGGAAGCTCATCAAGCAGTAGCTTTTCAATTTACAGTAACTCCAGATGGGATTGACCTGCGAATGAGCCATGAGGCACTCAAACAAATTTATCTATCTGGTGTCCATTCATGGAAGAAAAAGTTCATCAGATTCAAGGTATTTCAGATTAGTCAAGTCCACCAAACTTGAGGGTTGTTTAATGTTTTATAGCTTTATTGAAGTTTTGTTTAGGCAAAACTTAATTTTTTTGCCTAATAAATTTCCTTATTGTGAAAGACTTGTGTGGGTTTTAGTTCAGATAGGGGATACCGAGGAAGGTAGCACTGGATGATGCTGTAAAGACTGAAAGGGTACATCTCTGGTTTTTTCTATAGAAGCAAGGTGAAACAGATGTAGAAATTAACAATAGCTGTAGTTTACTTCACACTGTTCATAATATATCATGTAGTTATTTAATCTTTTAGCATGTCAGAAATATTGTGATTTTTCAGTGTCATATTACTTAGAGATACAAGACTACACTCTTAAATTTTATGTATTCTTTGCCAAAATTAAATTTTCAAATTAAAGAGCATGTTTGCTGCTTTTAAAAAGTTACCTGAACATCTGTCTTGTACAAGTTATGCTAAATAATGTTTCTGATGAGGTATTTTATACAGATTCTTGTGAATTTATTGTTTTGTTCATGGGATTATAAATGGTAAGTATCTATTTTATTAGTAGCAAACTAGTTAAGATACAGGCTAGCTTCAACAGCTCTTTCAAAAACATTTTTAACAGTAGCCTTAATAAAATCTTCTTAAAAAGCTATGAGAAGGACTGTTTAAATGAATGATATAAAAAAACCTTGATTCCAGTTTTCAGTGTCTCGTTCAGTCAAATATTTTTGCCATGTGTTCATTTAGAGAGACCTAACTCAGTGTAAGTGGGGAATTACTGAAGTGTCATTTTTTCCAAAGTTGTTTGCTAATTTCAGTATTTTTAGTAAGATTAAAAAAAAGACTAAAGACTTTAGTAATTTTAAGTAACACAGCAGGATCAGTGTTGTCTACAAAAGAACTTAAAAGTTCATTTATTTCTTGATGTAATTATGACAATTTTCTGTAGCAGTCAAACTTAACTAAATGCATTCCCTGCTCTTGAGTTAAGCATATGTAATAAAATGTTTTATAATTTTAACTTATTGTTTAAAACTAAATGACTTAAATGTGTTGATTTTGGTTTCTTTACACGGTAATATGAAGTCAACCACTTTGGTATGAAAAAATTATGTGAAGGCTTTTCTTTCCAGAATGGAATTATCACTGGCGTTTATCCTGCTAGCCCATCTAGCTGGCTTATTGTAGTTGTGGGTGTGATGTCAACAATGTATGCCAAAATTGATCCTTCTTTAGGAATAATAGCTAAAATCAACCGAACACTTGATACAACGTAAGTAGACTGAAAAGTTACTGTTCCTCTAAAGGAAGCCACTTTCATTGTAGCTACTCCTAAAGCTAATCCTGTGAAAATGTATCCGTTTTTGAACATCATGTTTGTGACAGAGTAAGCTCAATAAGCAGATGTGTTGAAGGTATGAAATGGGTAGGTTGTATATCAGTATTACTACATTGTTCTCTGAGTATTTGGGAAACACATTTGGCAACTTCTGTGGCCTCTGATCTTGCTGCATGAGAGGATGTTTGGAAAGGACTTTATGAAAAAGTGCTTAACAGGCATGAAGCTTGTGTAATGCTTGCTTGTAATACCATTAGACTTAGGTTTGCAGTATTTGGTTCTCTTTAAAAATTAAACTGACATTAACTGGCACATGCTGGCTTTTATTTTAAATAGTGGATATATGTCAAACCAAACACAGAACATCGTGAGTGGAATACTTTTTGGCACAGGGCTTTGGGTTGCCCTTATTGTCACAATGCGCTACTCTCTAAAAATGCTGCTTTCCTATCACGGTTGGATGTTCGCTGAACACGGCAAACTTTCTGCAGGCACCAAGTTTTGGATGGTAAGGATGTGTTGTCTTCTGTTTCATCTTAACTTCTATCTGATCTGTATTCAAAGCCATAAAAGAGAAAATTTTGGAGGTTTTTCCTTGCTTGTGTTTTCTGTGTTGTGGGCCAGGAGGCTGTTAGGTAGATGTTTCTACTAATTACTGTCATCCTTCTGATGCTATAATTAAACTATTCAGGATGGCCTTGTAGAAGGAAGAGTAAATACTTCAAGAATAACTTCTAAATTTGCCAACAACTTGGCACTGTGTGACTCAAATACCTACTTTTTTTCTATGTGCAAGTACAGCTTAAAGAACTTGGGCTGCAGCACCGAAGAATCTTCTCCTCCCCATAAAGTGCTACCATAATTCTTTGTTGAAATATTAAGATTTCTAGTCATCCATTCTAAAATTAATCTAATGCTTGAAGAAAATAATGTTGAATATCCTTTCAACTGATTTAGTGATATGTCTCCAAAATGAGTTAGAGAAAAAGCATAAGGTAGGTAGCTTGGTATGCAGTTTTCACATAAGGATAAGATGATTGTAATCTGGTTCCTGTTGAATATTGTGGTGCTTTGGGAAAAGATCCTTAAAGGATGTGATAGGTATGGAGTAAGGAAATGTACATATAGTTCCTTCAAGGGATTAAGTGGATTTTTGTTACTTGGACTTGGTTGCTTTAACTCACTTTTGTCACTCCTGTAGAAATAACTTGTGGCCTACAACAATAAAATTGGTCTCTGCAGTCTCAAAAAATTAACTGATGTGTGTTAGACTAACAACACATGATTTATTATGAAATATGTTCCAAGAACAGGTATCCAGAAGGGTACACTAAAATAGAATTTAATGTTCACCTGTTACAAATGAAATTTCTAACTGATAGTTTCTCCTGGAAGGAGTATCAGGAGCCTCATGACTCAAATTTGTACAGTACAGGCTCTGAATGGTAAGGCTTTCTATCAATTGCTGTCTGGGTTTTCAGCATGTCCTACCAGATAGATATTTTAAAGCTGTTAAGCTTACCTTATCGATCTTAAACATTATGAACTGTAATGCTACTTACCATGCTTCGTTGTGTATTGTATTTATATATTTTTGTTTATTGTATATGTTGCATATGTTTTTTATTGTGTATTGTATGTTTTAAAATACAGAACACTATAAAGGTGTATGCCCAACAGTGTCTCATCCGTACTTAATATGAAGCTCAATTTTAACACTTTATTCTTTCTTTAGCTAGTCCCAACAAAAGAGAAGACTGGTTTCGCTACTAAAACAGTACCAACTACCTTAGCTTTTTTGATTTTTATTATCCTTTCATATTGTGTCATTTTCCTGTTTTTTTTTTTACTTTAGCTTTTTTCATGCTAATTAACAACATGAAAAATGCTATCATGAATATACTGTCATCTGTTCAAATAGTCATGCAGATCAAAAACCTGAGCTCTGATTTCAGTCGCAGTGCAAAGTGACTTACAGGCTGGTTGGAAGTTTGGTGGCACTTTTAATGAACATATTTCATCTTTTAAAGTCCAATTTCCTCTACCAGGATTAGGGGAAAAATCCAAGTATTAGTTGCAGTTTTAAAAAATAATAATAATCTGTGAACAGATGCAACGCATGCTAGAATGAGATTATGTGCTGTGCCTGCATATGAAATCAGATATAATTAAGTATGTGTGTCTGTCAGATCACTTTAATGGTCTTTAATATGAAATCTCTACTACAAGTTTACTAAACAGATAAATACTGTGAAATGTGTTTGTTTTTGTCAGTTGAGCAAGTACTGCCTGTCTGAAAGTAATTTCAGCCTTTCCTGGCTTAAGAGTTCTGGAATAAAATTGTCTTCACCTATGGAATTAGATTTTTCTCATGAAAAGCTGAGCTTTTTTCTCACCTGACTTCAAATTTATGTTGTCACGAAGAACAACTAGATTTCATTGGGCTGATCACTGTGGTGCATCCATATATATCTAACAAGTCTCTGATAAGTGTCCATTTGCAGGGATGTCTTGCAGTTATTAGTAGTTTTGCGCTGCCTAATACTACCTCCTGTAGCTGTGCTGACCAAGGAAATTGAGAGAGCGGAGAAAAACTCTACATTTTAACAAGTAGTTTTGTCAGTTGAGAGGGCATAGAAAGGAGAAGTTCTAGGAATTTAGTAGTGAAATACATCATCTTTCTTTCTTCTGTTTTTAGTCTGTTGGCCTGTATGCAGTATATGGTATAATATGTTGGACCAAGATTGAACTTTTGACAATAAAGGTTCCACTGGATTGTTGGTGTAATACTTGACCTTACTTTCATGCTGAAATAGGGTGATAATGTCAAAATCCTTTCATGAGTAGCCTAGAAGTTGCATCATTTAGACTTTCAGCCTAGTGTGGGTCACAGCTGAGAAGTAGTCATAGTCAGAAATGCTGCTTCTGTCCTCAGTCTCCCATGGAAAACAGGAGATGCTGTAATATCTGAAGCTAAGATGGGAAATGTAATCTCTGTCGTCTTTTGTTTCATCGTTGTTGTTTTTTGTAACATAAGCACTAAGTATGTCACTGTCATGCTTGCACAATTTGGTATGTGCAAATTGTGCAGTAGACTACTTGATAGAGACTCATGCTTGAAGAACTCCTTGTAACATCAACACTATTACTGATGTTGAGCTATAATTTTGAAAGATATTAAACCATTACTCCAAAGCATAATTATTATTTTTAAAGGTGGCTATAGTTATCTAGGATCCTTAGCTGAGTGATGGGCTTGGTAATGATTCCTGTTTTGAAGCACAATATAGATATTTTTGTAGTATCTACTATATAGTAAAAGAGCAATTGGTAGACTTGGTCTTTTAATCTTTACAGAGGGAAATGTATGAAGGAAAGAAGTGCTAAATAACTGTCTGTATTTTCTGTTGAGATCAAGGTATTCCATTCATAAACAACAATATTGCCTAATGACCAGAAGATTGTCTGGAAAGTCAGGAATGATTATGGCCACCTTTTTCTTCCACTGACATGTTAGAAAGTTAATGTCAGTGCCTTTTTTTTAATTTGTAAAAAATACGTGATAAATATGACAGTTTGCAAAATTTAGTACAGTATAATTTGCAAGTGAAAAGAATTATGAGTTACATTACATTTTACTCTGTCATTTTTCTTTTGTTGAACCTAATAATTTGAGGTGTGTATTTTGCTTTTGTTTTTCTTCAGACACTCGTAAAACTCTTCTCAGGACGTAAACCTATGTTATACAGTTTCCAGACATCTTTACCACGATTGCCAGTTCCAGCTGTTAAAGACACGGTCAATAGGGTGTGTACATTAACTAATTCATTTTCTTCAGTAACATTGGATCTATATTTAGATGCCCTTGTGAGGTTTTTTTTTGCCATGCCTTATAAAAGTATTGCATGATGATATTAATACGGTGTAATAAATTAAAACTTCTGTGTAGAAATTAAAGTAAAGGGTATAACAAACCACTGAAACTGGTGACAATTTGAAGCTGGCATAATTCATATTGGATCATGTGATATCTGTTGATATAAGACTATGCAATGAAGTGTGATTTCCAGGGCTCTTGAAACATGTTTTGTTATCTTCCACAGCTTGAACATATAAATGTGTGTTTAATGACACGAAACCTTATAGCAAAGTGTGTTAAGTAGGACAGTATGTCACAGAAACTGAAGGTTTGATTTTTTTTTTTAGAGATGAAGAAAATATCTCTGCTTGATACTGAAGAAGCAGTATGTCTTCCCCTTTTGAACGTAAAATGTATCTTTAGAAAAGTAACCTCTTCCACTTGTGATTTGCTGACAAATGTTTGGAAAAAGATACAATTTTTGTACTTTGCAGGCAGATGTGTAGAAGAGTGTATGCTCTTATTTTAACAACATAGTATTTGCAAACTTATGAACTGAGTCCACTTTGTCTAGTCCTTTGTCTACTGTTCAAATGCTTTGTGTAGAAATGGTGAGAAGCTACGTATTAGTTACTATACTGATGCTGATTCTTTTTCTGTCTTCTAGTATCTGGAATCAGTTCGGCCACTTATGGATGACGAAGAGTTCAGAAGAATGGAGGGTCTTGCCAAAGATTTTGCATTTAATTTAGGACCAAGGCTTCAGTGGTATTTGAAGTTAAAATCCTGGTGGGCCACAAACTATGTGAGTAGATAAATAGGAGGTGCAATCGTTCAAATGGCATAGCTTAATTTGTTCCCTGTTGCCTTTTTTGGCTTAACTTTCATTCTTTCTTAAATGTAAAAGAAGGCAATTGAAACTACCTAATATTTTTGCAAAATGCATTGGAAACAACCTGATTTGCAAAGAAATAATTTGTGTGATTTGGTAAACAAACAGTGTGGTGAATGGAACTTGAAAGAATGAATCCTCATTTTGTATTTGTTATTCTGGAATAGGTGATTTAGCTTTTGCTGTTATGATAGCTTCTGATGTCTGTTTATTGGCTTGTTAATCTTGATAACTCAGCAATGGGCCGGGCTACTCAGGCAGTTTAGGAGAATGATGAAGGACAACTTCTTTATATAGAGCAGCTAAAGCACACGGAAAAGAAATAAAGAATTGTAACTATTTATTTATTTATTTATTTTACCAAAAAGAAAACCCAAACATCATAGTGAGAATGGTAATATTCCTTCCTGATAAATTATCTAACATCTAGCTGTACCCAGTAGCCTAAGCTGAGCTAGTGTCTGGGAAAAGGCTGCAAAACATTCAGGAACTCTGATACATTTTAAATATTATCTGAAGATGATGACTTCTTCAGAAGTGTCTCAGAGAGCTACAGCTGAATTTAATTTAATTCTCTCACTGCTGTTTTCCCTAAAGTTTAACACAAATTAGTTTGGGTTTTCTTTTGTCTTTTAAGTAGGGAGACAAGCTAGCAGTTTCCTTTCTGCTTCTGTATGGAATGTGTTGAGGAGTCATTAACACAGACGACACAAACTGTGGAAGTTATGAGATTTTACTGCTTTTGTTTTCCTTCCTGCTGCAGGTTAGTGATTGGTGGGAAGAATATATCTACCTTAGAGGACGTGGACCGATTATGGTTAATAGTAACTATTTTGCAATGGTAGGTAAATACTGTAAACACCTTATGTGTCAAAGAAGTGCTGTAAAAATTCTGCCAGGTCTCTTATTTCGTGATATCTTTCTGTTTAGAAATCCATTGCCACTGAATGTCTGACCTTTGTTTTCCTTTCTTTTAGTATAACCTGCAGCCAATGCCTTCAAGTACAGTCTTACTAATAAACTTAGCACATCTGCCACTTAGGCAAACTCATGCAGTAATGTCATACAGTTTTGTGCTTACTGCAACAAGCAGTCTTTCAAAAGCTCCGTCTAAATCTTAATGGGTAACACAATTCAACACGGTGTGTGCTCGTATTCGCAAATGTCTGTACAGGAAGTAAAGTTGTAAAAGACCCTAAAATTAAAAGGCACAAGAGGAAATATGGCAGTCTTGGATTCAAGTTTTAAGTAACATTGCCTTTTCTACTGGGAAGATTAACAGTTGTCATATATGTTTTAGGACTGATGCTGTTTAAGGAGACTGTGACTGTTTGAAGAAATTTAAGTTTCAAGTCATCAACTCACTGCGCTATGTTTTAAAGCCTTTGTTTTATAGCCTCATATGTTTTAAAGCCTTTTCCATATTGACCAGAATAAACTTTAAGAATGTGGATGAGAAGTACTATCAGGGGTTTTTTTATTTTTTTACATGTAGCCTCGTAATCATTAACTTACGATTCTTATGTACTGTACAGGACTTCCTTTATTTATCTCCCACAAGCCTGCAGGCAGCTAGAGCCGGTAATGTTATCCATGCCATCCTGCTCTATCGGAAAAAACTGGACAGACAAGAAATAAAGCCGGTATGTAAAGCAGTTTAAATGGGTTTTGACCTTTTTCCAGCATAGTCTGTAAGAAGTTGATCAATTTTCAGAATGGGAGAGGAGAGGAATGTCTTGTCGTCAGAACTACATGTAAGATGTAACTAAATTTGTGGTCTCAAACTTTTTGGTTATCACTCGAATTGCACGTGGGCAGAAACTATTAACTACCAAAAATTCAGGATTCTGTTATGCCAACTAATTGCAGTATTCGAAATTAACATATGTATTTGCTCAAAAGACAAATAGAGGCTTGTACTTGCATATCTTAAGTATTCCATATAACCTGTTATTGGTATGTGCTAAGCATGTAGTGGTACTTTTGAGCCACTGAAGTCTGAAGAGTCTGTGGTATCATGTAGTGTGAGCACAAGGGGTGACTGGGACAAAGGACTGGACCTTGAGGCCAAGAGTGGGCCAGTGTCAGCCTAAGTATAGATGATGATAAAATCCTATGTTGCACTAATTTCTAGGTAGCAAAGATAGGCAAAGCGAATCCCATTCTGAATTTCTCTTCTGTCCAGTGGAAGTGTGTTGTAGCAAACAAATACTGTGTAAACAATTAAGTAGTTTTGTTGAAGGTCATGGCAGGAATGTTATTAATTGTATGTAACTGCAAATCTAAGAAATGTGACCTTTTGTTCCTACACAGCCAGAAATAGCTTTAAAATAAGAAATTAAGGGGTAATGCATGCTGCATGTGTAAGTTTTGCATCTAGACCAGCCATTGAGAGATCTTTGGATTTCAGGTGCTAGCTAGCTTCACCTCCTGAAGGGTGAGCTTTAGGTAGGAGAGAAAAAAATGCAGCTATTAGAACGTCAGTGGAGTCTTCCACATGTAGTTCGAGAAAAGACCATGAACAGAAGAGGGGTGGAACCTTGAGTTGATATATTATAAATCTTACTGTTCTACAGCCTGTCTTTAACCAGGTCCTGTTTTTTCCTTCCTTTACGATTTGCAAATTTTATATGCCAAATTACGTTTTAATGTACATTCATGACACAGATTCTTCTGATGGGATCTACTGTTCCACTCTGCTCAGCTCAGTGGGAACGGATGTTTAATACCTCCCGTATCCCAGGAGAGGAATCAGGTAAGCAGGACCAGCCAAGGAGAATAAACATGGACTTCAGTTTCTGGGGTATTTTCTGCTAAAATCCTTTTTTCCACAGATAAGGATGTGACACACAAGGGCACACCAGTACTGTGTTCTGATACTCAGGAAGTAATGAATTGCTATAGAATGTATAGATTACTTTCCTTTTGGGGTGATTTTGAAAGTTCAGTGTTTTTGGTTTCTTCCTTTACTTACATTAAAAACTAACTTCAAGAAACTGTTGTCTACCCTATGTTTTTAATTTATAAATAACCTTTACTTTCCTCCAATCTACTCTTTCAGGATCCTTGATATCCATGTTTTTATCTTTGTAAAAGTTGTATTCTCTTATCTAAACCATTTTAAAATCTTTTGCTTTCTTGACTTTCCCTTTTTCCTTCAATGTCATTGTTACCTTGACCTTTTGTATGCACTGTAAGATGTCAGGTCATCAGCGCAGTGAAATCACCTGTAGTAAGGACTGTGTCCAAAACTTTCTGTTTAATACATTACAAAATTATATATTCTGGGTTTTGTTAGTTCCTGCCCTGCCCTACCTACCAGCAATGGTCTGATTATTTTAAGCTATGAGTAACTAAGTTTTCACATTTTACTGTGGCATAGAGGGGTGTACCTGTTGACTCACAGCAAGGTCTTTTTCACCTGAGTCTGTTCCTGCAACTTCTGCTTATTGTGGGAGACTAGGGATATGTTTACATGATCACAAGCCATCACGTTAGCTCAGTTAAAAAAAAAAAAAATTGTATCTATAAGTGACAATTCATATATACTTTCTTACTGTAGATGTACATATGCTCTCACTGCATGCATTCCATAACACTGCCTACAGACATAGTAGCATTTCACATTAGTCAATGCCAAACCTTGTTTCTTGTTGCATCTCAACATTAAAATACATTATTTTTTTGTTATGGTCAATATATCATCCAAGATCTTGAGGCTGATTTTTCTCCATATGGTGTTATTTTTCTAAAGATAATGTATGTTATAAAGGTTCATCATGTGTTTCTCCCCAAGGTAGCCTCCAAAGGTCTCCATCAGCTTATCCTAAATTTTCCAGGCTGAAGCTGGTTTTTATGATCTTAACATTAAAGTGACTTTGTTGTTGTTCGTTTTTTTTTCCCTGAGTGTTGTCACTGTAAAAATAGGCAGATTGCATCTAAAAATACTAATAATTATAGTCAACAGGTGGAAGAAAATGTTGCTATCCATTTTATCATTCTTTGAGAAGCAAACAAATAATTTCACAGCAGATTTGAGTGCAGACTTATGTTGTTGTGCTTTCCACAACAGCTTAAGCTGTTATCTAGGTTTCTCTGATCTGGTTATAAGCTGAAGAGCCTCTTAGAACTTAGTTCACACTGCATGATTGTGGCAGCATCAGAATGAAATACAGCATTTGGCAGAGTTATCCTAACAGTCATGATTAATGCAGAGGACAATTACTAGGAATTTGGAATGCAAGGGAATGTACATATGGGCTGTCACTTGACGACAGGATATTTTTTTTTTTTTTAACTTTCTTTGAGATCTGTAACTCACTCTTACATTTCAAGCTGCCTTTGAGCATGTTAGTCCCACTCAACTACAGAATAAAAAACACAGGAGTTTCTAAACAGACACAGGGATGTGCCTACTCTTCCCTGCTGGAGGTCTGACTTTTGCTGTACTATATGAAGTTGGATAAGTGGGGGAAGTGGCACTGGCTGGTGGATATAGCTGTAGGTGCAGGTGTAAGAGAAGGATTTTACTCTCAGTTCTGTTCCTGGCCTTTGGTAGATTATTGAGGAATTATTTCCCAGCTATGCCTCAGCTTTCTTTATTTGCAAAATGGAGAAAAACATGTCCTTAATGTGGTTATTCCCTGATCATGAACTAGTAGTTTAAGTAGACTAGCAAGTTTTAACATCTCTATTAGCAAGTGTAGTGTATGAGCTATTGTTATTTAGAACGCTTGAAGTACTGAAAGTGCTACCCTTTGCCCCTCCCCGGTTCTCAATAAAGTAAAAGGTATGAACTATTTGCACTTAGCTTTGGAACTGGTGTTCTCTTACTCTGAAATGAGTTTTGCACAAATGTGTAAAGTGCCTCATTCTAACACCTGATTAAAATACATCCTGTATATCTTAATGGTTCTCCTCAGTTTCTCCTGCTTAAAGTGTCTTTCAAATTAAAGTACAGTCAGCATCATAAAATTACCTTATTTTCCTTCTAAGAACTTCACTTTTCCCATTTTACTTTTGCAGTTTTTCATTGTTTCTCTTTTTCTAAAGGAAAAACTACTATTGTCATTCTGTATGCGGATAAGTGAGTTATAAAGACATTTTTTCCCAGATTCTCATGAGTAGCTTGATTTCTGGCACCCTGATTTCAATTATATGTTAAGTATTTTATGTATGTTACAGTTCCTAAAGGAGCCGTGTATTGTTTTTTTTAAAAGAAAAAAAAATTCCATGGCATGTCTTCATGTTAATTGGTGATAAAATCTTAATGAACATTGTATCCTGTCATTTGAGCAGTTGTTTAATTTTCATGTCTTTTAACAAAACACACTATAGAGTTATTGTGTTTTAACCCCAACCCGCAGCTAAGCACCACGCAGCCACTTGCTTACTCCTTTCCTCTCCCACCCTCCCAGTGGGATGGGGAGGAGAATTTGAAGGGGGGGAGGGGGGGGAAAGGTAGAACTCTTGGTTTGAGATAAAAACAGCTTAATAGGAAAGCAGGGGAAGAGAAATTAATAATATTAAAAGAATATATGAAATAAGTGATGCACAATACAATTGCTCACCACCTGCTGACCAATGCCTAGCCAGTTCACAAGACATGGAGCCCCTGGCCAACTCCCCACAGTTTATACATTGAACATGACATCTTTTAAGCAGGGAAGAGCCTTTATGTCTTTCCATTCCCATTTTTTAAAATAGGAAGTCCATGCAGCATGTTATATGCATCTGCAGATGTACATAAATAACTTCTTGGAGTGGCAAGAAAAAAGAAAAGATTTTGTGTTATAACAAATATGTACTTCAGGTGCATAAATCTGTATTTAGGCCTGTAAGTAAGGTGTCTGAAAGGTAATTGCCAGGGCTGTTGTGAAGTCAGTTGTTGATGTAGATGACTAATGAACTCACTTTTGCTTTTTACAGTCAAGAGGTTTTATTTTTTTCTATGGACACATCATGTACATGAGACAAATACTTGGGGTGTCCTGACTCAGGTTGGAATTACAGAAAAAGTTGCCTTGCTAGCTGATTGCTTTGCTGCTTCTTTTTCCCCCCTCTGTAGGGTTTCTCCTCCCAAACCATTGTACTTGACAGTTGGAGTGACACTTCTGGCAATCTTAGTACTTTATCACAGGCATCCTGTCTTTGGCAGAAATGTGAAGTGGAAAGCGAAAGGCATCATTAGCATAAAACTGCTTCTGATCGGTAGATGGAGCATACTGCCAAAACTTTATGAATAGCTGAGATCACCCAAAGTATAGAACTCCTTCCTGGTACAATGTTTTTCAGATCTCTTAGAATCATGACTTTTAACCTCAGCCCTCATTTTTGATATCATCTTTCTTCCCCGTCTTGGTAATGGGTCTTTTCAGTTTCATAGGAATATAACAGTTCTCTGGGGTAGTGAAGGAATTAAATTAACAGTTTTCATCAATTGAGAGCTTTTCCTGTCTGCTGTAGAAACCTTCATCTGTGGTTTGATACAATGCCTTCATGACAAAGTTCAGGCTTATCCCAATTAAGCCATATAAATAATAGTGAGGAAAAAACTGTGGCCTGAGTTTCTGCTTCACTGACTTCCATAATGCTACACTTTTTGGCCACAGATGGAGTATTCAATCTGCATCTGCCAGGACAAATGTGAACAAAAGCTTATGGTACTAAATTTGGGCTCTCTTAAGACTCCCTACAGACTGTACTGTGAGTTGTGTAGTACTTGAATGCAAATGATTTAAAAGTATCTTTCCTCAGACTCATCTAGCATATTCTTTTGCTGACTGCTTAATCAGACTACACTACTAGTACTCGCTTTTCAGATACAGAAATACAGATTCAGTTGCTTAATATTGGCCTCCAGTGTGGAAACTGGTGGTGCTATATATGTAAGATTATCAAATCTAGGTATTTGACTGTTTCATACAGGAATCTTTGTGCTGAAATAACATAGGGGAGTGGTTTATTCCACACTATTTATTACTTTGTTGAAATAAATAAGCTGCGGCTAACTGGTATTACATGCAGTAGGCATCTGATGTTATTTAGTGAATAAGTGTTTTGAGACTTAAGCTTTGTTTTCACATAAGTGATTGCAATTCTAGATACCCTCCAGCATGTGAAAGACAGCAAACACATTGTTGTGTATCATAAGGGCCGTTACTTTAAAGTGTGGCTGTACCATGATGGTAGACTGTTGAAACCCCGAGAAATTGAACAGCAGATGCAGAGAATTCTTGATGATGATTCAGAGCCTCAGGCTGGTGAAGAGAAGCTAGCAGCTCTTACTGCTGGAGATAGGTATGGTGGTTTTTAGTTTTTTAAATTAATTTTAATATTTAGAAATAGTTGCATAACATACTAATTGAATACTGACTTTGGAATTTTAAAATAGCCTGCAGTCAGTTGATTATACCTTGATCACTGATTTTTGTATTGCTAGCATGTAACAGCTCTTCAGTCACTTGTAACTACATGAAGTTAAAAGTCATTTTGCAATGGCAACCTTGTATACAGATTATCTATACATAGCTGGAGACGTTTGGTTTAATTGTGGTAATCATAAGACTGGTAATTGGAAGCTTTACAGTATTACACATATTGAACTATATGTTTTATATCAACTCTGGGGTTCACTGGCATTTTAAAGAATATCTCAAAAATCAAGACTGAGAATGTGAATTCAGTAACTGTTACTTCATATTCATGACTTGCACCTACAACGTAAAGCAGTATGTACTCAGTTGGTTCTAGGTGCACGATCACTGAATTCAATTAAATTGTGACAAACTTAGGTCAATTTGTCTAGTTGTTTCTGGTCAAGGGAGAGAAAGAGCTCTGGATTTTAATACATTTTCTTAGTAGGAGTCCTTCCTTCTTCTCACTTTCTACTTTAAAACAAACTGAAATTTTTTTTTTGTTGGGAAAACCATGTAAATTTATAAATAAACATGGTGCAACCAGACAGAAATTACATTGCTCAGGACTTCTCTAACTTAGATCTGTTTCAGGCATTTACCATGGAACTTTATATTGGCAATTGTCCAGACTCCTAGATTTAGGTGTTACAACAATGGATATTAATATATCTGCTGATTGTTTTCATTATTTTTACTTTTTTCTTCTTCTACATAATAGATATTTTCTTTTGTTCCGTTATAAATGTAGATGATCTATGCTATACGTATTGCATGCCACAGAAAGTTTGATTTTCTGAGAATTAAGCTTTGTACCTGTGTGATATGTTGAATTTGTTCCTAGGATTACATTGTATATGTATTTTCAGAACTTTCACTGCTGATGTAATTTAAATGTAGTAGCTGCTTCAAATTTGATGGAAGTAGGAGAAATGTCTCATAGTGATCTTAAGGGTGACAAAACATTGACAAATTCACATAATCTAGCCATAAATGAAATTCTTTTTGCAGAGTACCATGGGCTAAAGCTCGACAGGCTTTTTTTAGCCATGGAAAGAACAAACAGTCCCTAGATGCTGTTGAAAAAGCAGCATTTTTTGTGACATTGGATGACATTGAGCAAGGGTACAGGAAAGAAGATCCAGTGAGGTCACTGGATGCATACGCAAAATCCTTAATACATGGCAGATGTTATGACAGGTACGGTATTGACTCTGTGGAGAATGCCTTCTCTTTTTTTAGAATTTCACTAATTCATGTGGCTAATACATATGAATGAATGACTTACAAGCTGATACATTTAATAGAATCCCAGAATGGTTTGGGTTGGAAAGGACTTTCAAAGATCATCTAGTCTATACCCTCCTTGCTATGGGAAGGGACATACTTCTTACATAAGGTGGCTCAAAGCCCTGTCCAACCTGACTTTGAACACTTCCAATGATGGGGCATCCAACCGTCCCACCTCATTTCTTTTTTTTACGTATTTTTCCCCCCCAGCCTTAACCCCCCCCCTGGCCCCAAAAAAAAAAAAAAAAAAAAAACCACAAACATTCCCTTATGACAAATCTAAATCTACCTTCTTTCACTTTTTAACTGTTGCCCATGGCAAAAAGTCTTTCTTATAAGCCACCTTTATATATTGGAAGGCTGAAAGAAAGTGTCCCATAGCCTTCTCCTCTTCATACTGAACAACCCTAAGTCTCAGCTTTTCTTCATGGGAGAGGTGTTACAGCCCTCTGACCATTTTCATGGCCCTCTCCTGGACCATGTCTGTCTTGTACTGGGAACCGTAAGACTGGATGCAATATTCCACATGGGGCCTCATAAGAGCAGAGTAGAGGGTGAGAATTGCCTCCCCTCAACCAGCTGGCCGTGCTGCTGCTTATGCAGCCCAGGATATGATTTGATTTCTGGGCTGCAAGCACACATTGTCAGCTCAGGTCCAATTTTTTATTCACCGGTACCTCAAGTCCTTCCCTGCAGGGCTGCTAAATCCATTTATCCCACAGTCTATTGATAATGGGAATTGCCCTGACCCAGGTGCAGGACCTTGCACTTGCCTTTGTTGAACTTCATGAGGTTCAAATTTATGTCTGTTTATTTAAATAAACTATTATTTGAAAAAAGAGGCCAAGAACTAGTGCATTTGAATGTGAATTTTTGAGAGAGACGAAGTTACAGTATAAAAATGCTCTTGAAATGCGCAAAAATATAAAGAAATGTTGATTTCTTTTGTAGGTGGTTTGATAAAACATTCACTCTTATAGTATTCAAAAATGGTAGAGTGGGTCTGAATGCAGAGCACTCGTGGGCAGATGCTCCTATTGTTGGACACCTGTGGGAGGTAGGTGTTTAGTACAAAACGTTAATGCAGAAGATAATGTGATATGGTCCTGAACATCAGCAGTTCCTTTCAATTCCTTGCAGTCACATTGCTGATGAGTGATTATGGGCCTGTGTCTACAAAAACTATAGAACTTAAAAAAAAAAAAACCCAAACCAAAAACAAACCCCAAAAAACCCAAAACCCAAACAAAACCCAACAAACAAAACAACCTTGCTTAAAAAAAAGGTTGCACTCCTCTAAATTAAAGGTCTTTATTGCATTTTAATGAGCATAGATGTCTTCATAGAAAAGTGATACAGCTCACCATCTAACTTATTTATAATATTGTAAGTCAATAGATTGTTGCCTCTTTGATACGGCATTGTATTTTATGTATATACATGCTCCTGAAGCACTTAAATTTTCTTGTGCTATAAAAATCCCACACTTACTTTCAAAATTTAAAGGAAATGTACTGAGTTTAACTTCTCATCATTGTTTGATGAGCTTCAGATTGATAAGCTGTTTAAATTCTCTCTTGTATTTATTTGCAATGAATGGAATAAATGCACTTTTTGTCAGGTTTATTCATCATGAGCTTAGTTTGTTACTTAAATTCCTATTTGATTTTTTTTTCTTTTCGAAGCTTAAACATATAAACAGTTACATGACTCAATCACTCAAAACTATTTCATAAATGTTAGCTAGTACCGATTTCATTATGTATTTGTTCAGATGGGTCTTAGGTCTGACTAGTGCTGCAAGTAATTGCCTAATTTTATTATATGAGCATTTCCATGTATGTAAGACCAAAAAATCCTCATGCATCCTCTAACCGAGGAAGAAAGAAGGTCAAACTGATTGGAGATTGACTTGACAGTGCAGTTTAGAATAGCTCAATGGAAACGAGTTACTTTGTTTTCTTTTAATGAATGTTATATGCTTTAGTTCGTATCGCTGTACTTACTATTAGCTGGTTCATTTTCTGCTAAGAATTAAGATGAGTAAAATAAACTAAGTAGTATCTCACTTCCTAAAAAAGTTATCTGTTGTTAGCTCTTTATAGATTCTCTATTTTTAGAATAGAATGGATTATGCTTTATTTCTGGCATGTTCTGACCACTAAGTGAGAAAATTAAATTAAAAGAGATTAGAAATTTCTGTGTAGAACATGCAATAGATTTTTGTCAAGCTTTTTCTTTCCATATTGAGCAAACTCAAATCTATTGATAATTCTGTTTGGGTTTTTTTAATTTTTTTTTTTTTTTTTTTACATTGAAGTTGTTTGAAATCTTGTGTAGTCAGACCATTTTTTGTTGTTCAAATTGTATTGTTCATCTTGGAAACATTCTACCTCCTCACCCAAAAGCTCTAATGCATGTATAAAATAAACTGCAATTTTGAGTGGAATGCAAATCTTAAATTATTAGATTCTTGCAGGAATATTCACTTACTCTGAAATAAACTGTTTCTTGCTGAACAAGTTTTGACAGAAACCAAGCTTTCAGAAATTCTCTAGAATCTAAATTGAACAAAAGTTGTGAAATCCAAGGCTCTAAGACTGACTTTTTTTAGTACTAGTAAGTTTGAGGTGGGTTTTTAATTGAAACATTTTGATTAATTCTGTAGCATTTAACAAAATGCACCAGTGTAATTGAATAGGTGTTTGTGCATATCTGGCATTTTTCCCACTCAGAACACAAGTAAAAATGCCTTAAAACAAGAGGTAAAACAGGTGGCTTCACTTGCAGCTGTTTTCGGTATTTGGGAATGGATTGTACATTGTATTTCACTATGTACCGAAAATGGATTATGTTGATTTCACAATGAAATCCTAATTTATGCTAATTACAGCAGCATGTAATGTGTTGCAATTCTGAAGAAGTATCATTCTTTGCAGAATGCAATGGCAACTGAGTATCTTGAACTGGGCTATTCAGAAGATGGGCATTGCAAAGGAGATACCAATCACACTATTCCTATTCCTACCAAACTACAGTGGGAAATTCCAGAAGAAGTAAGTACAGAACAGCTAGTGTTTTGAGGAAGGAGTTCCTCTTTTATAGGGTTATCAGTAATTACTTAAATGATTTGACTGGTCAGGAAATCAGCTTCAAATTCCTTTGAGTCCTGTAAGATGTGTATTTCACATGTGGACATTACTCAGTTTACTTAAAAAGATATCAGGGGTTTTTAACATCACTCTCTAAAAATTCTGGCCAAGGAAATGTCAACTTTTTACTAGAAACTTTCTTGGTGGCAACATGCTAAAAATAAGTGGCCACCTATTTGAAATAGTAACTGTATTAAAATGAAGTTTAAGTTGCTGAGGTTTTATTACTATTGTTACAACAAATGCTCTTGTGTAATAGTTCCTTGAGATTGGCTGTGTTCAAAATTCTGTATACGTCTAAAGGTTTGGTTGTTGTCTTTTTTTTCCCTGAGTTAAAGAAAAACTGCCATCACCTATTGTATTTTAATTTTGAATAAAAATGTAATGGTTGGTGATATGTTTAATTAAGTATGTATGGCAGATTAGAAGCCCATCTCTGTGGGTCATCTTTTATGTTCTAGTGATCTGAACAGTCTCAATGCTGGTGTTTTTTTAAAGTGTAATTTTTGGACTCCAGATGTGTATTTGCTTTTTTTATTAGCTTTTTAAATATTAACTTCTTGGCAAAGGTAGCATCTTCTCTTTTTCCCTTCCTGGCATGCATAAAGGCAGCATTTATTTATCAGTTAAAAATATTTGCACTTTTTCAACATCAAACACATTGACCATTGAACATGTGCACATGCATATGTGTGCATATGCATATTTATTTTATTTATTTATTAATTTATTTTAGTGTCAAGAAGTGATTGAGAGGTCTCTGAGCACTGCCGTAGCTCTGGCAGATGATGTGGACTTCCATTCATTTTTCTTTGATGCTTTTGGGAAGGGACTAATAAAGAAAGCAAAAACCAGCCCTGATGCCTTCGTGCAACTTGCCCTGCAGCTTGCTCACTATCGGGTAAGAAGAATAGACTGTTTCTGGCTTATAGAATCTCATTAAATTGGTTATAGCATGCTTGTGATTAAAACATGTGACTGTGTAAAGTACTTTAGAGTAATCTTGCACTGTGTGTGCAGCGTTATTAAAGACATTAAATGGAAATTGGTACAAACCCTAAACAGATTAATAGCTCGAAATTAATTGTCCAAATGTTGGCATATTGACACTTGTGCAAATTTTTCTCTTCTGCTTAGTTGGTCTATCCCTAGGCATTTTGGACTTGAAAGAAGTAGATATGAAACCTCTAGTAGCTGTGTTTATAAGCTAAAAAATGTTATAATCTAAACAATGTAACATATATCTTTTAGTGTGGAGTCACCCTTAATTCAGTAGTTGTGGACACTCCTTAAGAGGATTAATGGAAATTCCTTCCTATATTTTCTTTTGTTAGTTCACCTTCTTTATAACGTGCTTTCAGAAAACACCGGTGTAGCAGCATGCATGTTTTTCCTTTTGCTTTCTAGTTGTCACTGTTAAGGTAATGTTTTGTCCTTTTTTTTTTTTTCTTTTTTTAATGTAATTTCAACTGGTTTTTCAAAGCATCTGAGTTTTCTGGCTGCTATCAGCACTTACAGTCTTTCTTACCATTGGGCAGTGTAGCTACATGGCAAATAGTTTGATTACGCATGCACCTCTCTTACCCGTCCTCTTAATCTAAAACTGAACAAATTTTCACAATCTGTTCTGATGTATATTTTAGACAGGTAGAATTGCTAACATGTGTTAGATAAACTTTTATCATTTAGCAACTTTTAATCTGTAGATTGTCTACATCTACAGGAAATACAGAAGCCATACTTCCTGGATTTTGCAAACTGTTTTCAGTTCTCACATTCTTGAAAATCCCCACACTGGCATACATCTCCATGCTATTAAACTTTTAACTGAAAATACTTTTAAGGATTTTACAGTTTTCTCAATTACTTACCACAGCTGTGTTAATTAGGAAACCACTGAACTGTCAAATAGGTTTTTGATAGCCTTTAAATCAGCTTTTCTTATAAACTGAAGACGACCGAATATAAAACACAGAGGGTAGTCCTTGCTAGTTTGGTTGTTCTATTAGTATTTATGAAATTGTGCTACTAATCTTACTTGTGCCTTTATTATCTTTGGGTAAGACTGCTAATGATGGGCTACTAAAAACTTAAAGCTGAATCACTCCACAAATTAAACTCATATCCTGTGTGCTTACCTTGAACTGTTGATTATGAAAGAGGGGCTAAGTCTGGCTAAACCTTTAAAGTTCTTATTTTTCCCTTTTCAAGGACATGGGAAAATTTTCTTTAACGTATGAAGCCTCTATGACACGCTTGTTCAGAGAAGGCAGGACTGAAACTGTTCGTTCGTGTACTGTTGAATCATGTAATTTTGTTCGAATCATGGAAGACCCAACTGAAAGTGTAAGTTCACGGTGTTGTTGCCTTATACAGTCCCTGAGGAACATGAATTATCGCTAGGTGTCTGTATGAGTTCCCAAATAGTTTTTAAACACTTAGAGTGATGCCTTTGTGTTTTAGGAAGGAAGTGCAGCATAGGGTAATTTTCTGTCAATATGGCAGAAATTCAAGGCTATACCAAAAGAGAATGTCAGTAACTTAGCCAAATATGCCAATTGTTACAGTTCCTGAACTCCAGAAAACTGAAATGACTTGTGAAATTTTTGTGACTTGTAAAACTCAAACATAGATTTGTACAACAGGTAATCTCATACCAGTTGGGCTTTCCTTTCTGACAGGAAAGCAAGTATTACTCACAGGAAATAAGTAGTTGCTCTTATAATGTTGATTTCAGTGGGCTTTTTAATCTTTCTTGTGATGTTCTGATTAGCAGACAAAGCAAGCATAGTCTAGGGGAAAACTTCTTGGTTTGGAAAATTTGGACAATACTGGCTAAAATGTTTGCTGTCAAAATGCAATGGTGGAGGATGATCGTCGAGGGCTTTTTTTTGGTCTTTAATCCACTGCTAGTCACAATTTTCATGGATACAGTTGATGAAATAAATCATTACATTTGCAGGTTTTGCTAAGCTGAAGGGGATTTCCAGTTCTTCAGAGTCAATAAAAACTTGACCTGAAAAAGAGGCTTTTGTTAGATAGGAATGTACTCAAGGTACATCTAGGCCTGAGTAACAGCTGCATGGGTAGGAGTTCTAATGAAAAAGTTCTAGGACTATAATAACAGTAACTGAACACTGACATAGCACATTGCCATTAGGAGAAACTGAGCCCTCACTTTAGTTAATCTTGCACTTTATTTTTAGTAGTCTTTTGTTTCTGCACGTTTTTTCTAGTACAGCTTTAACTGAGTGGTGTGTCCAGTTTTGGACACCACACCTGAGGTATGGATGAATTGGAGAAGAGTCTAAAGGAGAGCAAGAAAGATGGTTAGAAACCTCTGAAGAGGATCTATGAGGAGAGTTTGTACTGAATTATTCTTGCCTAGTCTAAAGAAGAGAGAACACTGTGGAAGAGGTAGGGAGCCAGGTTGTGCTCAAGAGGATAAACAGTCTGATGCAGAGATGATGGCAACATCTGTTCTCTGTCCCAAGAAGTAATGGTGTTAAATTTCAGAAACACATTAGGGAAGCATTTTCTGCTAGTAAGGATTAAGGAGTAAGGAGAGAAATGTGAGAAGCCTGAAAATAATTACTTGGGGAGGTTGTTTTCTCAGTTTGAAAATCTTTAAAAGTTACATAATGGTCCTTCAGGAAAGAGTTTTCATTGATCAGATCTTAGGGCAGAGAAGTCTAAGTAGGTAAATGGTTCAGGTTCTTTCTATCCCCATGATTCTCTGAATAAATGTTACTGCAAGAAAATAGATGCATAGAGAGTAAAACTTTTTTCTCCTTCCTTTTCCTGGAAGTTCTGTGTAGGTAAAATCCCCCTGTATTTCTCAATGTGCTGTGCTGGGAGCTGTGATCAAACCAGTGCAAGTCTGGAAATCCAGTCATGTCAACATGTCATACATAACTGTATGGCACAGCTAGTGTACAACTACCCTGTGTATAGAAAGTAATTTTGATGTAGTTGTTAATTCTGATGTTAACTGCAGAGATGTAATAGTCCTAATATCTGCATTTTTGTCAAAGGAATAAGGTAGCCCATACATGGCAAGACCATATATAGCAGATGTCATTCTGCACACTTTTGGTTTTTTTAATGGTTACAACAAACATGATTCTTTTTCAGTTTTGTTGATTCATTACTGCCCTTCATCTGGAATGATCAGCTGCAGAGCAGAGGAACCATGCCTTCATAATGCAATTTTTAGTTTTTATGTGTCATGAATATTTTATTATATACATTTATATATTATTTTAAAAATACTTTTCTGCCTTTACTGCTTGCTTCTGCTTTTCTCTGGGTTTTTCTTTAGAATTTTTCCTGAGCACTTGTATTTTCCATGGACTATCCACAAATCTTTACTCCTGAATGCCAATGGTAGGCATGCTTAGCATAACTACAAATGATTTATTAGTTTCTCCTGCTGGAGGCAAATAGGCTGCTCACTGTGTCTCAAATAAGTGGTGTAAAATGCCCTGATGCTGGAGATAAGAAGGGACAGGTTGCCATATATTCAGTGTGTTGTATTCCACATTATAAAAATCTTAACAGATTGGCTATCTGTGTTTTGAACTGACGCTTTCTTTCAGCCCTTGCAACATCCATCCAATGTTCATAGAATCACAGAATATCTCAGGTTGGAAGGGACCCATAAGAATCATTGAGTCCAACGCCCTGCCCCTCACAGGACTGCCTAAAACTAAACCATATGACTAAGAGCATCATCCAGATGCTCCTTGAACTCAGGCAAGCTTAGCGCCCTGACCGTTTCCCTGGGGAGCCTGTTCCAATGACTGACCACTCTCTCAGTGAAGAACCTTTTCCTATTGTCCAATCTGAACTTCCCTCGATGCAGCTTCATTGCATTTCCTTGTGTCCTATTGCTGGTCACCTGAGAGAGGAGATCAGCACCTCCCCCTTGGCTGCTCCTCTTGAGGAAGCTGTAGACTGCAATGATGTCACCCCTCGGCCTTCTCTAATAAGTGGTGTAAAATGCCCTGATGCTGGAGATAAGAAGGGACAGGTTGCCATATATTCAGTGTGTTGTATTCCACATTATAAAAATCTTAACAGATTGGCTATCTGTGTTTTGAACTGACGCTTTCTTTCAGCCCTTGCAACATCCATCCAATGTTCATAGAATCACAGAATATCTCAGGTTGGAAGGGACCCATAAGAATCATTGAGTCCAACGCCCTGCCCCTCACAGGACTGCCTAAAACTAAACCATATGACTAAGAGCATCATCCAGATGCTCCTTGAACTCAGGCAAGCTTAGCGCCCTGACCGTTTCCCTGGGGAGCCTGTTCCAATGACTGACCACTCTCTCAGTGAAGAACCTTTTCCTATTGTCCAATCTGAACTTCCCTCGATGCAGCTTCATTGCATTTCCTTGTGTCCTATTGCTGGTCACCTGAGAGAGGAGATCAGCACCTCCCCCTTGGCTGCTCCTCTTGAGGAAGCTGTAGACTGCAATGATGTCACCCCTCGGCCTTCTCTAAGCTGAACAAACCAAGTAACTTCAGCTGCTCCTCATAAGTCTTGCCCTCTGCTCTCCAGGCTCACGTCCACCAGCTTTCATGTATAACCAAGATTACCCCAATCCAGGCGCAGGATCTGGCACTTGCTCCTGTTCAATTTCATGGGGTTAGTGATTGCCCAGCTCCCTAGTCTATCCAGATCTCTCCGTAAGGCCTCTAACCTTGGAGGAGTCCACAGCTCTTCCTAACTTAGTACCATCAGCAAACTTACTTAATGTACATTTGATTCCTGTGTGCTGATCCTTTATAAAAACATTAGAGAGCACTGGCCCTAAAATTGAGCCCTGGGGAGCCCCACTGGTGACTGGCTGCCAGCCTGATGTAACCCCATTTATTATAACTCTTGGAGGCCAAGCCATCAGCCAGTTGCTCACTCCCTTTGTTGTGGACTTATCCAGCTGTATGCTGGACATTTTGTCCAGAAGAATGCTGTGAGAGACTGTTATCCAAATCTTCACTAAAATCCAAAAAACCCTGCATCTACTGGCTTCCCTTGGCCAACTGTATGGGTGACCTTGTTGTAAAAGGAAACTAAGTTAAACAGGACTTTCACCTTGGGAACCCAAGTTGACTCTGAGCAATGACTACATTGTCTCTCACTTGTTTTTCAATAACTCCCAGAATGACCATCTCGATATGACTTTACCAGGCACTCATTGAGACTGACAGGCCTGTAGTTATCAGGGTCTTCCTTTTTACCCTTCCTGAAAATTAGGAACAACATTTGCCAGCTTGCAGTTGACTGGGACCTCTCCGGATTCCCAAGACCACTGAAAAATGATGGAGAGAGGTCCCATGACAACATTGGCCATCTCTTTGAGCAGCCTGGGATGAATCCCACCAGGCCTCATAGACTTATGTGCCTCCAGCTGGAGCAGCAAGTCTCAAACAAGTTCAGAGTTTATCATCCCCTCAGTCACAGCCTTCCAACACAGGGCTCCGGGGGTCTCAGGGCCCATTACCGGTGTTAAAGACAAAGATGAAGAAGGCATTAAACCTCTCTGCTTTGTTTATGTCTATTTGTAAGGTGACCAACCTCAAGTAAGGGAGCAATGTTATCATCTCTGATATCATTGCCTCCTTTTGCTGTTAACATATTTTAAAGAGCCCTTTTTGTTGTCCTTCAAAGTACTAGCCAGCTTGAACTCAAATCAAGCTTTGGCTGCACAAATTTTCTCACTGCATTGGTGAACAGCATCTCTGTAGTCCTCCCATGTTGCCTCTCTGCTTCCAATATCCATACTTTGTCCTTTTCCACCTAAGTTCTAAACAAAGATCCCTGCTCAGCCAAGCAGGCCTTCTGCCTGCTTGCTTGACTTCAGACGCTTTGGAATTACCTGTTCCTGAGTACTTAAGAGAAGGCTTTTAAAAAATTACTAGCATTCATGGACCCCAATACATTGTGTTGTCTGTTTACCCTCTAAAATGGCTGTTGCAGTTCCAGTGTTTCTTAAATCATTTTGAGATTTGCTTTTCTATAACTTTTTAAGACCAATGTTTCTGGAAATTAAATATACAATAATGTAGTAAACCTGAGTTGTAATCATGTTTGATTCTGGGGTTAGATCACACTTAAAATACAGATTTGTTTTCTTTACGCACAGTTTATAGCAAGTAATAGTTGACACTTGCTAATACCTGAACTTGAATACACAAAGTTGAAAAGCCAGAGGCTAGTAGTATTTAGTGTCAGTTGCATGCATTGTCTTGTACTTGACCCTTAAGTTCTCTAGGCTTGAGAACCATTGTTCTAACTTAGTTTCTGCACATAGATCCTCAACCCAGTTCACTTAACTGATTTTTCTTCATCTCTTTTTCATTGTTAGAATGAAAATAAGCTTAAGTTCTTTCGGCTTGCTGCTACCAAACATCAGCACTTATATCGTCTCGCCATGACTGGTGCTGGCATTGATCGCCATCTGTTCTGCCTTTATGTTGTGTCCAAGTACCTTGCTGTAGATTCTCCTTTCCTTAAGGAAGTAAGTCACTTTTACTGATAGCTTAATTATAGTTTACTTAGTGTTTTGTGGTATCTACTTACATACTTGTAGAACTCTGGTTTTCCTAAGAAAAAAGGTAAGAGTTTAGCTAGCATTCATTAACATCTGCTGGTAGGTTACAAGTTAGTTTCATTTTTCTCTCTATACACTAGACCTATAGTAATGCTTTCTGTGAGCTTTGTAGTGTAATAGATGTTATTAAGAATTGCAAGAAAGACATAGTCAGTATTACCAAAAAAATATTGGTTGCTTGTGGTTTTTACGTATTTTCAAGGCAGCACAAAAGAGGCTGTGTGTTTTCTCTCAAGAATGTTCTTTTGGAACTGTGACAAAATCACTTTCTTTTAAGTTACTGTGAGTTAAAGGAGCTGTATATTGCTTTTTTTTTTAAATGCACAAAGTTCATGTCAATGTCATTACTGTGACAAATGCTTTATTACTTAAAGCAGATTTTAAGGTTGGGTTTTATAAATGTAATTATATTGCACTTGTTCGTGTTTTCTGATTAATAAAAAATGTGTTCCAGCTTGACTCCAAATTAAGCTACTCACATTTGTCTGCTTGCCCTCCTAAATGTGAGTAGTGGCTAAGGCAAGAATAAAACAACTTTCTACAGCTTCTTAAGACTTTCAAGATACATGTGTATTGTTAGAGATTTTACAAGCTTCTAATGTGATGTAGTATCTTACTGAGAATTGAATATGGCCATTAATGATCTTGTTAACAAGACCTGTTATGCAGAATTTACCAGGCTATAGACCAGATTAATCTGTTTTGAAATAGCATTTCGGTTGAAGGAACTTTTATTCTCTTTGAGGAATTGACATCATGACCTCATATGTTAATAGTCTGCATATCAGGGCAAGTTTAGCTGTTTCTTTTAACCTTTTTAATTGTTCATTCTATTGAAATGGGAACTGGAGTTATCGTTAATATTGCTTTATTTGGTGCTTGCTAACTTACCTTGACTAGTTTTTGAGGAAGTTGCATGTTCTTAAACAGTGTGTTATACTTGTTTGCATCTCTTTCATATCTAAAAAAGGTTTTGTCAGAGCCTTGGAGGCTGTCAACAAGTCAGACACCACAGCAACACATTGATCTAAAGAAGAACCCTGAGATGTTATCCTGTGGTGGCGGATTTGGACCGGTATGTTTGCTAAATACAAGTGCCCCTTTAAAAACAGATTTATTTTGAATATGCCAATGTAAAAATTTTGAATCTGTAATGCCTTAATGTTGCACATCATAGATACAACTCATGCTTTTAAATGTGTTTTTAATGTTTTCCCATGATGTGGATGTGCTCAGGAAAATCTTCATCACCTTTTTCTCATATCGCACTACAAGAACGGATTATTCTTAAGGAAATACTCAGTTCTCAAATGTGGTACAAGGCTTCATGGCAGAGAGATCTGATAAAGTGTGGACTTCTATCACATTATGTATGCCCAGAGCTTCTGTACATCAGGCTATTATTACCGTGACAAATGCCTTATTACTTAAACTAGATTTTAAGGTTAGGATTTGTAAAAGTAATTATACTTGACTTGTTCTTTATATTTCCTGATTAATTAAAAATGCATTCATGCTTTCCTCCAAATTAAGCTACTCAAACTGTTCTGCTTGCCCTTCTAAGTGTGAATATAATGGCTAAGTCAAGAATAAAACCATATTCTACAGCTTCTGTAGACTTTCAAGAAACTAGTGGATTGTTAGAGATTTTACAAGCTTCTGACTTGCTGTAGCATTTTACCAGAATTTGAACATGGCCATTGATGATGATATTGTTGCTAAGGAGATCTGTTAAGTAGACTTTATGGGGCTATAGACTAGATTAATCTGTTTTCAAAAAGTATTTCTATTGAAAGAACAATGAGAGGGATCACAGAACTTCTCTTTGCCACATAGAAATTAGGATGAAAAGTACAGTGTATTTTGCTTGTTTTGTCAAGCTAGAAGTTGGGGATTTGTGTTGTTTTGTTTTGTTTTAATTTATTTATTCATGTTTCTGATACAGCTTTCAGGAGTTCTTGAAGTTGGAATAAGTTTAAATTGTAGTATCAAGAAAGCATAGCTATTGCAATGCTGCTTATTCATGAGAAACTGGCTTGCTCCAGCAGATTATAAAGTCAGTATTTAGAATTCCCAGAAAGGTGAGGTCTGGCAATAAAATAGGGTTTTGGCTGCAAGAATTTCTAGCACTAACTTCCTTTTTTTTTTTTTTGATAATGCTACATTAACTCCCTTCTTACTATTTTTTCATTCCTTTAATTTTGTTCCTTCAGTTGTCTGCCTTTCCAAATAACCCTGCTTACATTTCCCCTCATCATTTCTTGTATACTTAAAAAAAATGTGCTTTAGTTTGCTGAAGTAGCCTGGAGATTCAGTACATGAGACTGTCCATGTGTGTGTGTTGTTTGTTGGTTTACTTGGGGTTTTTTACGCATTCTGTAGAATATAACCCTGTAGCACTAATGGAGGGAAGACTACCAGGCTGCTTAACAGCAGTGGCAGGAAAGAGCTTTGAAGGCTGTAATCCTTTGAGTTAGGAAAGAGAGGAAGGAGGGTGGCAGCAGGATAGTCTGTGTTTACTAGGCATACTTTATAACATCAAGCTGAAACTTGGGACAGTTAATGCTGCTAATGTTAAAATGGGACCAGAGCTCTGCTCATCATATGGGTGTTCAGCATCAGATCTTTGCTGTACAGTCAGATGACTTTCCTTTGGGCAAGTTTTCATCCTGGGCCACATCAAAGGAAGTGTGGCCAGCAGGTCAAGGGAGGTGACTCTGCCTCTCTACTCCGCTCTGGTGAGACCCCACCTGGAGTACTGCATCCAGCTCTGGAGCCCTCAGCACAGGAAAGACATGGACCTGTTGGATTGGGTCCAGAGGAGGGCCATGAAAATGATCAGAGAGATGGAACACCTCTCCTATGAAGAAAGGCTGAGAGAGTTCGGGTTGCTCAGCCTGGAGAAGAGAAGGCTTCAGGGAGACCTTATCGCAGCCTGCCCATACTTGAAGGGGGCTTATAAGAAAGGGCCTTTTGTGATAGGAAAAGGAGTAATGGTTTTAGACTAAAAGAGGGTAGATTCAGACTAGATATAAGGAAGACATTTTTCACAATGAGGGAGGTGAAACACTGGCACAGATTGCCCAGAGAGGTGGTAGATACCCACCCCTGGAAATGTTCCAGGTCAGGTTGAACGGGGCTCTGAGCAACGTGATCTAGTTGAAGATGTGCCTGCTCATTGCAGGGAGGTTGGACTAGATGACCTTAAAAGGTCCCTTCCAACCAAACTACTCTATGAATACAAGGCTTGTATACTCGTGTATATATTTATATACTGTATTTGTTTACATCTGCAGAGTGATCCCATGAAACAGGATGTTTAGATGTACAACTGAACTATTTTTATTCCTTTCTACTTAAGCAGTGAATCTGCTTAGAGCCAGATCTTGATAGGAGGAGGTCTTTGAACAAGTACTCTATTTCAAAATACTAAAGCTGGGAAATACTACAACATATATTCAGCAAAATTTCATTCCATGTGCTTCAGATGAAGCTAGAACTTAAGCTTGAACTTAAGTAGTATCAGTCTTCAGAAATGATGCATTAAATGTGGAAGATTAATTTTTGCTTGAGGAGAAATCACACACTGCACAGTAAGAATTGTGTAACTATGTATAAGATAATTTAGGAATGGAAGGAAAAAAAGTAGTTTAGAACTTGTTTTTCTCTTCTTTCTTCATCTAGGTCGCTGATGATGGTTATGGTGTTTCTTATATTATCTTGGATGAAAATTCCATCCATTTTCATGTCTCCAGCAAAATATCTTGTTCTGAGACGGTAAGGGTTAGTCCTTTCCTATGGTTTAATAAATCTGTTCTGATACCTGCTTATAAAACTGTTCTATTTGTTGTCTAAAAAAATTAGTAGGACTTGCAACACACAGTTATAATGTGTTTTTTCTTTCTCAACATATGGTGTTTTGCTGGTTTTTTTGTCTCTTCTATAAATTTAATAGCTTTATGGACAAAGAAAACTGTATTCTATTTCACTTACGATTTCAAGCATAAAGAAAGCATATGGCCCAAGGTCATCTTTATGTGAGTTCCAGGGAATTACACATGTGTAAAATTACTCATATCTGTCCCATAAACAGTAAGATGGGTGTTTCCTGTTTTTTGTTATTACAGTTTTGCTTTGACTTGTCTCTGGCTGCACTTGTAAAGACAGAGTAAAATGTATGCTCCCTATTCTGTAGACCTTCTTGGTTTAAATAATACTGAAAGAAGTTGGCTCAGAAGTTGTAATGTATGCTTAAGAAACATAATCAAAAATTTATTAGAATAACACCCGTTATTAGAATGTCGGTAGACGTCATCTATTCATTATCCTACTGTTGCAGAGGCCTGCTTTGAGTGAGCTTCAATTCACCCTTTCCCTTCAGATTTTTATGACTTTAATAAACATGCAGAATTTTTTTAGGATTACATAGCTGAACTAGTTTTCCCATTTTGATCTTAACTTGTCCCAGAGATCTTGATGCCTTTGGTTAATCATTAAAGATTAGGAAATACAACTTTGTTTTTTCATAGTTCAAATCTTCAGATGCCTGTTAGCTTGTACTTCAAATTTCCCTGTATTTTTTCTTATTAGTCGATTCAAAGGTCCATACAGCAAAGGCAGCCTTTCATGTGTGTGACCTTGATACCAGTAGGGTCTTTGTAGTAGGTCCTGTAATGTAGCTAATAATTTGTATTAATATACTTGATTTCTTCCTTGCACCATTCACCTGACAGTTAGAATAAACAAAACAAGTTCATAGTTTGTTTACATTTAGATAGTTGTGATTTTCATTTTCAGTATTTTATGTAATTTTTCAATGGCAAAAGATTCATGATTCTGATAGGAACTCAAATACAAAATGTTTTTCTACTCTTTCAGTACTCCTAGATCATTAGTCATACACTTTCTGAATATTCTGTTGTGTTCTGTAAATCAGCTTTTGCAATATCTTGTATAAAAAAAAAACCAAACCCCACCTATTTTAAACTAACAGAAAGCTATAGATGCATATGATTTCAGGAGGAGATGATTTCCATTCTGTCTGTAGGAAAGTAAATGCATAATGAAGAACTCATTAGTCAGTAATAACATAAACCTGGATTAATTTGTATAGCATTAAAATTTCTGTGGCTTAAGTTCCCCATTTTATGGTAAAATACATGCCCTAATTCCGTAAGCTCCAAAATTACAAAATGTTAAAAGGTTTCTTCTTTTGCCTAAAAGATAATTGTTGATTGAAAGTACAAGTCTTTGTGTTTTTTTTGTTTGTTTTTTAAGGATTCTCATCGTTTTGGAAAAAACATCCAAAAAGCAATGGTTGACATCATGGGTTTATTTAACCTTACTAAAAACTGTACCAAGTGATTTGCCTTATTGGCACTAAGCCATCTCCTGTTGTTGGGATGAGAACTCTTCTGAACAGTGAATGAGGGCAAGGTTTGTCAAACAACCGGTGGCAAAGAAACTGAGTCAACATCATCTTGATCATCTATGAAAATCTTAGCAGTGTATCAAATATTTCATTATTGTTTTTCAGTAGTTTGGAAGAGTTTGTTTCCACAAAGGATGACTTTTGAAATCTTGTATGTTTCTAGGGATGAAGTATAGTATCATTCATTGCATGAAGTCGTGTATATTCTAACTCCTGCAGTTTTCTCTTAATTTGTATACACTTGCCCTTTTTTTACTTAAAATTAATCTACTTGTATTCCAGAATCAAAGGGATAAAACACACCATCTTAAACTCAAATACTAGACAAAGTTCGATTTGCTATGTATTAATAGCAGAATGTTCTTCACAAACTTGTGTCTGTTTACCTTCATTGGTTTTTTTAGTGTCCTTTTTTTTTTAAAGGTAAATTCCGTAAAACATACCCCAAAAATCCCTGGGATAACCCCCTGTAACATACCAAGTTGTAGAAATTTTTTTGGTTTTGGGGAAAAAAACCACCATTGGGTAGTAAAATGTGTCACCTAATTAGGAGGTATAACATTTTTCTTATTACTTACAAGCATGTTTGTCACATTGTTGATTTTATTTCTGTATGAATAAATGTACCTGTGTACTTGTTCATGTGAGTGCCTTAGGAAAAAAAAGATCCTAAATCCAGGAAAAAAGCTTATGCTGGGAGTTGGTTTTACATTGTTGTAGTGGTCAAGGAGGTAAAACAGTAGTAATACAGATCTAGTTTTCAAATTATAAGTTATGTTGATGTGGCATAAGTAGACTTGAATATGTTGCCACATGGTGCAGTTAGGTTTAAAGCTCTAATGAGATGCTCTCATCTTAAATGGCAAAGACCAGTCCCTATGAAATGCATGAGTAACTTTGTTTCAGAGCTACAGATACTCATGTGTTTATTTTGGTGAACAGTATATGTGGTCATTTGAGGTAAGAGTTTCTGGGTCCCAGGCAATGTCAATTTAGTTAAATGCAACCTGTTGAATAGTTTCCAAAGCAAGGCATATGCGCATCAATTGCAGTTTGCCTGCTTTCAGCCTGGACAGACCACTACTACATGGTGTAGTGATCCTTGCCAACCACCCGCATGAGAAGGGCAAACTATTGAAGCTGTGGAGAATAACTCCAGAATGGAAAAATCATGGCCTTCTCAAATCCCTCCTGGGAGAAGTTCTTGGTCAAGCAGAGTTTCTGAGGATATGAGGAGGGAAGGGAAAGCTATTTCACTCAAAAAGGAGTGTAATGTTTCCAAGTGCAGAAATAAAATGGCTGCTACAAAATGGAGTAGCTTTATGCATGATGTTTCTCTTCCTCATGCTTTATAGTTGTGGTTACTTTTTACATCATGCATTGAAGTAAAGGGTACCTGTTAGCACAACAATTTATTTTATAGGTTTTTTTTTAAGGTAAGGTACCAGGTGTTTAGTAATACAGTGAATGCTGCTCCAAAACTATGCTGATTTTAAAAGGCCGTTCAGGTTCATACAAAACTTCTCATTAGACTTTGAATGTTTTCTGGCCAGTATTTGTAACTTTCTATGCCTCTTCATGTTTTAGATTTTTTTTTTTTTTTTTTACTCTGATCTAGCTATTAAAACGTGTGTATGTATGTTTGGGGTGGAAAACCGCAAAGATCCTAGACACATACTTAAGCAAATGCATGCTTACATAAATGTAGGAACCCTCACAGGAATTGGCCAAAGATGCTCATTATTTGATTAGGTACAGTGTGTGGGAAAGGACACTTTGAAATAAGCCTTACTGCGGCTGGCAAGCCTGGCATTTATCAAACTACTGCAACAATTTTATAGTGATCTTTTCTTTTGGAGCTGCAGAAATAATGCACTGAGGTTTTTTTGGGGGGTGGAGTCTATTGACCACTGACCAATCTGTGCTTCAATTAACGTTAGGGTATATTAGCTGGTAGGATTTCTTTTAAAAAAATAAGTTTAGATTTGACTCTCAGGTTTTAAATGTTTCCCGTCTAATTATAGTTAGTGCAGTTAGCAATGCAATTTTACATTCTTAGACAGTAAGTATAATTGGCACAGAAAGCTGCTTTTTATGTTTTAAAACATAAAATGTTTTAAATGTCTTAAACATTTGTGGTGTTAAATGTATCTTCTTTTTAATTTGGGATAGATCATAATGCCTAAACAGATAAGATTTTATTTCATTTTCTCTAAAATGTCAACAGCATGTAAATAAAATATGCTTTTGGGATGTAAATCTTAGAAATCCACAGTGAATATGGGTTATTAATAATTAAATCTTTATGTTCAATATTGTGTACATACAGTAAAACTGCTTGCTTTTTTGCTCGAAAGCCATAGGAATGTCACTGAAATTACCTAGATTGGAATGAACCTTCCAGTACAGTATACTTTATAATAAAGTAAAATGTTCACATTCCAGAAAAACTATTAATTTGTTACTAAAAAGTTGAATCATTTATTCTCAGATAGTGATTTCAGAGCTCAAAGTTAGGGTTGAGTAGGTGGTAAAAGTCAGGTTGGATGATAATAAATGGACGTGTTTATTAAATAGCAGTGTGGAATTTTGGTGGAATACCTCGAATGCACATTTTCCAAATTTCTTACTTCAGCTATTTCATGCCAGAAATTAGGAGAGCATTAAGTGCATTTAGAGGCCACCATTGTCCAGGATTAACACAGTTCCAAACTAAATTTTCTGTTAAGGGTTGAGTTTTTTGAGGGACTAAGGAAGTATGTGCCTGCCTTTGAAAATCATGTTTCTAATTCAGCCTTTGTATCAATTGTTTTCTTGTATAAAATACATTAATTTAAGCTATGTTTTTTTAATCTTGTTCAATTACTCTACATCTGTGGTTGGTTATTCACCTTCAACACTTTGTCTACTCTCTTCTGTGACTTCAAAAAATAAAGCAAAATTTCACAATTACTGCTACCTAGTACAATGTTCAATATCTTTTGTATCTTCTTCCGAGATTCCTCACTGCTGTTTCTGGACTTGTGAAATAGTTGCTATTAAATCCAGTTAGGAATGGTAGTAGCAGACTATTCAGTTCATTTGAGCAGTGATTTATACATGTCTTGCTAGTTAATAGGGAATATGTTAATGAATAATTTATCTTTTTCAGGTTCAGTAGAAAAAAGAAACGACATTGGTCTTATTTTAGATGGGCTTTTTTCATGAGATCCAAATAACTGCTGGAATGTTTCTGTGAAACAATCTGTCTGCAAGCTAGTGGATAGCACTGGTTTGATCTTTACAGTGAATAATCCATAGAATATGAATGGTAAGGCAGTGGAGAACTAGTTCAGGCACAGAAAGTTAACCTTGTTAAAATGCTACTTGCTTTATCTGAAGATTCACAGTACCTGAAAACTCCTTTGAAATTGAATTAAAACTAGGGACTACTAGTGAGACAATTGAAGAGGATTTTTTTTTTTTACACTTTCAAGGTTCATGTGCTGTTTTTTTGAATTGCTGTTGAATTAAAAAAAATGCACCAAACAACAACAAAAACCCCACCGTCAAAACCCTCCAAATACTTTCGTGTGATAGATCATTTTCACAGTCATTTAGCTTGCAGTTTTTCTGGGTGTTGCAGCCTTCACTATATGAAAGAACACAGTGATTTTTAATTACACACTTCAGCTCTTAGATCCTGTTAGTTCCTGGTTGTATGTCACTCATTCCCCACCAAGGCTGGATACTGAAGTGCTAAACTGATATGTTCAGTCTGAACAGAAATGCTGTGTGGAAACTTTCTAGGCACAGAAAATACTGATTTATTTTTTGGATTTTTTTCCCTTCTTCCCTTTGCCTGTTTTTAAAGGTGGCAATTACAAGATGTATCTTATACTTGGAAAATGTTGCTGTAGTTGTACATGATGCATGGGATTAATCAGCTCTGGCTCAGATTAATGAACTCCTGTTGGGAAGTAGTAGAATAAAAGAATTATCTGTTAGATGAAACCTTTCAGAGGGAAGGAGTTTTGTTTTGTTCTGTTTTTCCCTGACTTTCATGGCTGCAGACCCAGGACTGGTGGGGTGGAAGTTTGTAACCAAAAGCATAAGTTTTTAGTTGCTGTGGGTGGTTTTTGTGTTTTTTTTTTAACACACAAAATTCCTAAAAATTAAGACATTAAAATATAAAATGAAAAGTTTAGATTCAGTTTCTGCTTTCAAGGAAACCATCTTTTATCTTAAATGGCCGTAGTGTTTTCTAAACTGTGAAATCTTTATGGCACTGGGGTGACAATTCCAAAATTTACATAATGAGTTGAGAAAGGGCTCTAAGAGCAGAAGCTGGAAGCCGGCTATTTCAGAGAATCACAGAATGGTTGAGGTTGGAAGGGACCTCTGGAGGTCATCTGGTCCAACCAGATGGTTGCCCAGGACCATGTCCAGAAGGCTTTTTGAGTGTCTCCAAGTATGGAGACTCCACAACCTTCCTGGGCAACCTGGACCAGTGCTCAGTCACCCACTCCGTGAAAAAGTGTTTCCTGATATTCAGAGAGAAACTCCTGTGTTTCAGTTTGTGCCTGTTGCCTCTTGTCCTATAACTGGGCACCATGGAAAAGAGCGTGGCTCCATCTTCTTTGCACCGTCCCTTCCGCTTTATATCTCTAGGCTAAACAGTCCCAGCAGCATAAGTTTTTAGTTGCTGTGGGTGGTTTTTGTGTTTTTTTTTTAACACACAAAATTCCTAAAAATTAAGACATTAAAATATAAAATGAAAAGTTTAGATTCAGTTTCTGCTTTCAAGGAAACCATCTTTTATCTTAAATGGCCGTAGTGTTTTCTAAACTGTGAAATCTTTATGGCACTGGGGTGACAATTCCAAAATTTACATAATGAGTTGAGAAAGGGCTCTAAGAGCAGAAGCTGGAAGCCGGCTATTTCAGAGAATCACAGAATGGTTGAGGTTGGAAGGGACCTCTGGAGGTCATCTGGTCCAACCAGATGGTTGCCCAGGACCATGTCCAGAAGGCTTTTTGAGTGTCTCCAAGTATGGAGACTCCACAACCTTCCTGGGCAACCTGGACCAGTGCTCAGTCACCCACTCCGTGAAAAAGTGTTTCCTGATATTCAGAGAGAAACTCCTGTGTTTCAGTTTGTGCCTGTTGCCTCTTGTCCTATAACTGGGCACCATGGAAAAGAGCGTGGCTCCATCTTCTTTGCACCGTCCCTTCCGCTTTATATCTCTAGGCTAAACAGTCCCAGCTCAGCCTTTCTTTATAAGAGAGATGCTTCAGTCCCATAATCATCTTCATGGCCCTTTGTTGGACCCTCACCAGTATGTCCATGTGTCTCTCATAGTGGAGAGCCCAGAACTGGACACAGTACTCCAGGTATGGCCTTACCAGTGCTGAGTAGCACTCTTCTATATGGATTATAGCAAATAACCTCTTACTCTGTACCAGGGTCCTGATTTATCTTTGACTCCTTGTAATGCGAGAGCATTTCCAAAGGAAATTATACTTTAAATACAAAACAAACAAAAAATTCCCCCCAAACACTCAACATAATTCGCAGGCCGTGTGTGTGCTCAGCTCAGCTACTGCCTCTGTGGACTGCTAGACTCGCCTGCGTGGGCAGAGCCAGGGGGCGGGGCAAGCTGGAAGCTGTGCTCTGGCGCATGCCCAGCCTCCCATAACGGTCTGGCGCGTGGTCGTTGCTCCCCACTCACTGAAGAGCGGGCGCCAGCTATGGGAGGGAAGGTGAATTGCCTAGAGGAAGGGATAGAGGCATGCCCTCTGCTGAGGGCCCGGGGTGGACGTGGGGCCTGTTGCTTCCCCTTCTGCCCTGGAAACCAGCGTGGTGATGTGGGGTGAGAGGGAAGGGTAGCCAAAGCAGGGCAGTGCTGGTCTCCCTCTCCTGCCCCATGGATGTCCCAGAGCTGGTAGTGGTTGATGCATATGGGTCAGAGAGTTCAGCCTTTAGAGGGCTGCCACATCCCAGTCCAGTCACGGGGACCCTCCCCATATTGCTTTAGTCTAAATCCAGAAATAGTGGTGATGACAGTGCAGGTGGATCTTGGCCATTAAAAATGGGGGCCTTGTGATCTCTGGGTAGAGGTGCTTTGGCTTTTGTTGTCTGTAATTGGCAACAGTGACATGGAGAGTATAGATAAGGCTTGGTCTTAACATGCCTGACTGACTCAAACTTAGAACAGTGTAATTATAGCTGTCTACAGGTACTGCATCAAACGTGATTGATTTTTTGGGGTTACTATAAAGCCAAGTCGCAAAATTCTGATTTAAGTTTGAATGCTGGTAATGTGTTTAAAAGTTACAAAGAATGTGTTCTTATGGTAAAAGCAGCATGTTTGTGTTGGCACGGTGGCCTCTACTTTCTCGAAGCTAGATTCAGAACCCCAACATACTCTTTCAGTTACATGTTAATTGGGTTAATCGTCAGTGTTATTTATATGTGTTGTTTGGTTAAGACTATTTCATTCACTTCTAGATAGAAAAACTATTCAGAAGAATACTAAAATAGAAAATTTAATCATCTTCAATGAAAAAAAAAAAAAAGATCCAGTTGACAGTCTGTCCATGACTATGGAGGATGAGATATTGCCTGATACAAGATCAGTAATAGACAGCGGATTTGTAACTGAAATACTTAGCCAAAATAGTCCTGCTAGTTCTGAAATCTTTAATCTGGAAACTGCAGTAATTAATAATCCCATTGAAGAAGAATTGCTATCTACTCAAGACAATCATTTACGCACTGTAAACGTGGGAGAGACTTTGTTAGATCAGTTCAAGTATCCACTTACCATTGAAAATCAAAATATAATAGTAAAAGTTGAAGTACATCCACCTGGAAACAACAGCTGTGATGATGATGATCTTGAAAAATACAAGGAATTAAATCTTCCAGAAGAAGCTGAGCATATGCATTCACCTAATCTGCCTTCAAATGGTGTCCACTTTCTTTCTCCTGTAGCGATGCAGCCTAAAAATTGCAACATTCCAACTTCAAGCATTTTCTCTCCAGAAGGAAGGGCCGATCAAAATGTTAGAATGATACCAGTAAGATTAAGTGAGATAGGAATTTTTATACATTCATGCTTATTTGTGATTTAAATGTGGGGAATTGCTGCATTAAAATTTATACGGGATCCACATAATGTTTAAAGTTATGTCATAAATTTTATACCAGAACAAACTTAGTAGTAAATACAGAAATAAATTTCTGGTTTATATTGTCAGAAATAGCATGCAGTGTGAACATGATTCTGGCTGCTGTTCTTTTTTTGTCCATACTATAAGCCATATTTTTAAATGGCATGGTAGTTATTTTGATCCTTAAAAAACTCTTACCATGCCACAAATATACCCAGTTTGGTTTTATGTATTGCCATCTGCATTAGCAACTATTAGGTAATTGTACAAAGTACAAATAGGATATTAACTGTTGTTCTTTATTTCCACAGGTGACATACTTGTCATCTTTAACTCATTTGGACTATAAATTTTAAAAATAATTTATTTGCACAGTAAACCATAGGCTGTATTGTTAAATCTCCATGAGGAAAGTAGTTTTGTCAGAGAGGGGTTTCCCATTGCTTACTACTTTTGTCAGCTTTTCTGTAGAGTGTGGAGTTACATTTTCTGTGTTGGATCAACTCCTATCTAGAAATGTACGCAGCATAAAACTTCTTGTGATGCTCACAGGACCAAATCCACCTGTTTAATGCAGAGTATTCATATGTAGAATACTTATGTGTCCTTGCATCTTTGTTTATGGCTGTAGGATGTCATCTGTAGAAATCTCCAAATTTTAAGTTTGCACTGTGGCTGCTTCTAGAGGAGCACTGAGGTTTCCTCTGAGAAACTATCTTGAAATAATTAAGCATATCACTTGACATTTTTTCCCATGTAAATATTTTGACAAACAGTGGTGTTCTCAGATTCAAAAATTAAAAGCATTAAAAAAAAACCCCAAACTCGCAAAAATCACTCAGTTGAAAACAATGTCTGATTTTTTTCCCTTGCAGTATCCCACCAAAGTGCCAGTCTGAAGCCAGGTGTCAGCTGCGAGGCTGTCTGTGCAGTAAACCTCCTATCACAGTAGTCATTGCTGACACTACCTAGCCCAGTCTGTTTCCCAGTGGCATTTCATCCTGACATGCTTGAGGTCTACCGTACAGTTACCTAATAGAACAGTATACCAGGGATGGGCAGTTTTGGTTTTCTTTCTAATTTCAGATTACAGTATTAATTATTAAAAGTATCTCTGGATTAGAAGATTGTTTACACACATGCTCAGTATTACCAGTAGTTCTTTAATAATCAAGACCTTCAATCTTTTGAATCGTTAATAAGATTCAAAAGACAGGTGGAAGCCTTTAGGAAATAAAGGTGTGATTAAGGCATAACGGTTGCTTTCTTCAAAGTCAAGTTAAACTTAATAAAAATTTGTTAAGTCTCTATACAACAACCTAAAAATGAGATTTAGAAAAAAATTTTCTGCCCAGCTCTCTTCCTAGTATCCTTACAGTTTATCATACTAAATCTGCATGTTTCCTTGATCTGCTCTGTCAGAAATAACTTTATTGAAATAAAGAAAGTGGATGGGTTGTATCTACGCTGCTTGCTTACCCTCCTAAACTGCTGTTAATATGTATTAAGAGGACGCACAGCACAGACAGAGAGCAAATTGTCTAATTCAAACAGTTTCAATTCTAATTTGAAACTAGAAAATAGTTGGTCTCTGTTCCATTTTCTGTTCATTTGGTTTGTTTTTGAAAATACAAGTGTAGGTATTAAGCATGATGTTATTATAGTTGTAAATGCATTAGATCTGAACCATAGCTATACGTTTAGCAGAAAAAGCAGAAATAATATTCAAGGTGTATAATGGTATCTGGTAATGCTGAATAGGCTGCAGCATTATGTGCTTAATTACATCATGAAAATGTAAATAACCTCCAATTTCAAACATTACTAACTCCGTTTTTTGTTTATTCATTTGGCTTTTTAAAAATGAATCATTTAATGCATAAAATAGTTATAAACAAAACATTCTTTTCTTTGGGTGTTCAGATCATTCATACCTCCAGTTGCAGGTAAGAATAAATGTATTTGTTTTTATCAATTTAAAGGAACCCAAAACAGTACTATACAGTTACAAAACTTGACCAATTGATTAAATGGTAAGTACCCCAAGTGACTGAGGGTTTTTTTATTTTTGGTCCTCTTATAATCTTAGGGAAGGATTTAAATAGCTAAATAATTAATTTCTGGATTTGGCAAATTACAGTATGAGCCTTTTCTGATAACATTAATATAACTAAGAACATTTGAAAGGAGAATGGACCACTGTTTGTATGTTGATTCAACCGCATAGTTCAGTGTTACTTTTCATTTCCCCTTCCTCTCATACCACCTCCCCATTCCTTCAGGGAACTGTGAAGAAGATATTCCTTATTGCAGCACATTTTTTTGTAATTGAGTTGAACAATGTTTTTATTTCACTTTGAAGTTTGACCACTGGTTATGAAAGTTAGGTAATTTGAATTTATGCTCATAATACAGTAAGCTTGTGAGCAGTTCTTTGATGTATTCTGCCCATAACCTGTTCACAATCCTGCTCAGTGTTAAACTGATTTGCTAGTTTTGATCTTACAAGGTAGTTTATCCTGAAGCTAAATGAGTTTTACCAAATGGGCACAATAAAGCTTTTAAGGACATCAAAAGACCCAAACTGAAGTCTGTTTTTCCCAGCAAGTCTGTTACAAAAGGATATTCTTTCGCAAGAATAGTGACATCAAAATCTCTTTTATTGATGCTGTAAAGGAGTTCTTGGTATAAAACATGGATCTTTTTGTAAACAAAACATGCTTTATTTTATGTACTAGAATATTCCAGTGATATCTGTGGCTTACCTCAGACTAGTGCTTCTGTCTGTGATGAAATAGTAAGTATGCATGCAAGATTTTATTATTATTGGAAGAATCTGTCCAAATGTTGGATGTCTAAAATGGGATTTATTCTAACTGCTAGAGGGTAAAAGGTTCTTTCAAACACTGTCCTATCTGATCTGTTCACAAAAGAGAGGGGAGGGAAAGAAAACTGTTACTCCATAGATTTCCTACACTGCTACATTGTGGAGGAAGGAAGAATAGTATTTGTATTTTTTGCCTGTTTCCGTTCCTATTAGCTCAAGTCTACTTGGCTCCTGTCTGCCACTTGTACATTCTGGTTCCAGTTGAGGCCAGTTAGGGAGGGGGCTTCTCCTAAGGCCACCTGAACACAAACTGCCTAGAGGGACTCCACCAAATACCCTTGGGAAGCTGATTAGTATTTGAGCCTTTGTCATGTGTGCAGTGCATATAAAGGAATAGAGCTGAGGATGAAAATCTGGCTTTAACATTAGCATTCCCTGGCTATGGAGACATGTTCTTTGCAACTAAATTATTCTCTTAAAATGCTTGAATTTTTTTCAAATATAATTTGCTAGACATGTGTAAGCCAAACTATAGAAATTCAGGTATTTCATGAAAGGGAGATTTTTTTTAAATTACTGGAATTTTGTAACCAGGTTTTTCAAGGTTGTCCATTCAGTGTTTTAAAGTGTGTATTGATGGGCAAAGCTTCATCTGGAAGTGTGACTTTTGTGAATATGACATTGTAATAAGTTAATAGATCAGCAAGACAGGTGTTAAATTGGTTTTCAACAAATGCAAGTAGCACCACATCTATTACAGAATGCCATGACACGCAGTGGTTGATCACTGTAACAAAAGTTCATTTTGGAAGTCTGATTTACAGGTATAACTGAATTTGCAGTCCAGTCTCAGGTGACTACTTCTTACTTAGACTAAATCCCAATGATCCACAGTCAAGTTATATAATTCAAGATTAATCCTTGTTTTGCATTAATTTGCTATGACTATTGCCTAACCTCTCCAAGGCAGTTTAGAAATCAGTTGATGCTTCATGATGCAGAGACACTCAACACCATTGTTACTGTAAAGTATGTTATGGTTCATTGGTATTCTTCAGGAATATTTTTACTTGAAATATAAGCAAAAATCATTCTGCCATTGACAAGTAAATTAACTATTCTCCGTATTTCATTTGAATACAATCCTTGCTTTAAAATACATGATTTATGCAGGTTAACTTTTACATTTGTTGTATTTGCTTGGAATTTAAAGTAGATTTTAAAGCATGCCTGTTAAGAATTAAAACTTTGTATTTCAGGCTGAGGTAAGAGAGGCAGTTAGTAATGTTATTGAGAATCACCAAGACAGAGCAATTTTTCAGAGTTCAAATGTTGATGAGTCTGGTTGCAAGTTATTAGCATTGCGCAGTGTAGCAGAGGAATCCAGATGTTCACACAGAAATGATTCCAACCCTGTGGTAATTATATTCTGTAATTGATAGCAAAATTATATGCTAGATAAAATTAACTTATTTGTACTGTGATAGCATCAAGAAGACCCACTTAGTAAATGGTGTATCAAGAATAGTAAGGCAGTCACTTCCTTGGACTCAGTCTAAATTTTATCTAGTTATACTGCTACTTTATATGTATGTATATTAAAAAAAACATTTTTTTCTATTTAACAGCTAGAAACAAACAAACAAAAACCAACCAAAAGCCAAACAATATGAAGATTACTTCATCTGAAGGAAAAGTTTGATTTAAAATCATGGCTAAATAAATGAAATTAAACATGAGCAATTATAATGTCATGTTCTGTTTAGGAAACTGAATCTGAAGCCAGCACACTAGTAAATAGCTACAATATGCTCCTCAAGTCCCCATGGAGCAATTTAGAGAACCAGGAATCTATATCACCTAGGTTTAGGAGCTACAATGTTAGATCTCAATAGCTGCTTCCTAAAATAAATTAAAATTAAGGGTCAAAAAGCAAACATCTTCATCCATAATCCATTTGTTTGAGAGATTCCAGTCTGTGATTATGAAGCTTTATAAGACAGGTGGTTCTCTTATGAAAACCTTTATATGCTTAGAATTACAGTTTCTAAGGTAAAGCTAATCATTCATTATTCATTCCAGGTTATCTGCCAGTTGGAAGGAGGTACTCAAATACTCTGTGTAACTTGTGGCACACAAGAACTAAAATCAGTTCAAATAATTCCTGAGTATCACAACCAACATAATTACCTTCAGTCAGGTACAATAAAAAAGAAAATTTTCTCTAGCCTGTCGGATAGTATATCATAGATTGTTAATGTGCAACTGCATGTGTTTATGTTTTTAGGCCGCAACAGTGTGAGGTGAGCTAAAGCTAATGTAGCTATCACCAGTTATTTTTTACTTTATTTTATAACTGAAAAATTTCGAGGAGCTTCATTGTAATAAGAACGATGTAATGTATATGTTGAATTTATTGAAAGTTTTTAATATACAGATTGCTTTCCATATAAAGCACATATAACTTAAGCACCTGCATACGTTTGCATTTACCCTAGCTTGCCACCAAGTGTCACTGTTTCTCTATAAATGAAGAGCAGCGTTGCGGCCTATGAGTATACTTCAGCCTCAGGATTCAGAATATCTCACCAGTATTTACATAATTATGTGAACTTTAAATGCTATCAATTTTTAAAGAACGTGGGTTTTGAGGCCCTAAAGTTAATGCTGTTTAGATGGAGTAACACATTTTCATTTGAATAGCAGAAAATGTGTGAGGTTTAGTTTAAATGAGTGTGGTTTAGTTTAAATTTAAATAAATATTTCTTTACCTAAATATAACTTCATCAAAAACATTATTAACGTGATTCAATTAATTATTTATTATTATAATTTTATTACAGTGGTGCATTTTGGTGGCAATGAGAAAACAAAGACTTAATATTTAGCACTATACAAGCACAGATACTGCTCTCAATATCAGTAGGTGCTGAGTGTGAGCGACTCTCAGCAGATGCTCCAGGTATAAAGCCCATTTACTTGTATTTGTCATAAGCCATCAAAAGAGTAAACCAAGCATATTCAAGTTAAAGGTCATGTTCTTTATAAAATTCAAACTCTCATTCATTTGCTGTAATGTTAGAGAAGAAAAAGCTGAGGAGGAGTGTGTTGGCATACGCTTCTTAGTTTTTATTTGCTTGAGCTTTCCTCTGTTTTGCTCATCTTCACAGCAAGTAAAAGAATTAGGTACAGAAATTATATCTAAAAGTGTCTAGGGACTATTCAACTTTTGAGTTAAGGTTTTTTTTTTTTCTTTCTTTAGATGAGAAGGAAGTAAGTACATGTATAAATAAGATCCATCTTGTAATCTTACTATGACTGATGTTTGCTTTTTTCTGTATAGGCTAGGATGCTCATATACTTACAGGCAGTTCTTCAACAGGACTTACACAAAGACTTACTCTTACAGCTATGGTTTTCTCCCTGGGTTTTTTGTAAATTGTTGCATAAGTTGCAGACCTCTGTTCCAGATTCTCTCTCAGAACTCTGGAAATTTGTAAAATAAGAACTCAGGTTAAATATATTTAATTGTTTCTGACATTTTTCTTATTTTATCAAAATATTTTAAGTCTATGGCACTTGAATTTAAATGTACTTCATGTCATAGAGAAAAACATACTATGCTCAAATTCCTAGCTGACAAATTGGTGGTGGCTTCTTATGTCAGGTATTTTTGTGTGATCGGGTTTATGTCTTGTTTTTTTTTCAATGAGAAGAACATTTCTGGAGAGAAAACTTCTAGGTCCTTCATTGACACTATTTATTTTAGAGTAAATTTGGGTTCAAACTTAAGCTGTAGGAGAAAGGGCTAACAGAGGACAGCCAGCCTCAGGTAATTTTTTTTTATTAACAAATAAGTTGAAGATACCAATTTACCTGTGTTGCCTGTATGCTTAATTCAAAAAATATTTATGCATAAATGAAATTTTATACACTGTGAGTAGATCTGCTGTCTTCAGGTAAATGTCTTCTTTTCAGGTGTGGACGACCCTGTAACAGCTGTACTGGGGCAGTTTTTGCCTGTTCCGGGTGAGCTGGTTCTAAATGAACAAGAGGTAAAGAAGCTTTATCCTTTAGACTTGTTAAGTACAATATACACTCTTTTTCCTTTTCTTAAAGTGGAAAGTAATGTTCCAAATGTTAAGTGTGTGTTGGAAAGTAACAATTATATGCATTTTCTAAAGACAGTTTGGCTATTTTGGACAGATTAGTTCTGCTCTCAGCATACTTTCTGCATATAAAGGTTTCTGATTTCAACATTTTCTAGAAATAATACCAGAATTAAAAATACAGTTTTCCATAAGAAAAATAATTTTTTTCTGGTTTTGAAACCCTCAATTTGGTATTATATAGAGTATGTTATTTCTGAGAACCATTTTAAGACTCTTTTGTGGTGAAGGAAAGCACATTGATGTTTACCAGAAGAAGAATAATATTTTCTTCCAGTAGGATTTTTTACGCTCTTTTCTCTTGGCTAGGATTTAACAGTCATTAAGTCTTTATAATTTTTGTTTATGAAAATTGAACAGAAGACTAAAAATCTTTGCAGATGATTGGCTTCTCATGTGTTACTTCCAACAGAGCTGGTAGCAAAAATCACTGAAATTTCTAATTGTTAACTTCTGATTTGTGTGAAGTGAATATGAGATGTTGGTACAAACACAGAAAATGGTTTGTGGATACAGCCACTACCATAAAAGTAGGAATAAAAAACCCAAGGGTCAGATCAAACAATGACCTAGGGAGTCTTTCATCTCTAAAGGCAGTATATCTGCAAATTGGTGCCTAAACATTCTGGAGCAGTGATGTAGACATCCTTGTGGTTCTTCTCTAACTTTACAACAAACTAGTTGTTTATTAGATTTCTTCTCTTGCTTTAAATATATTAATTGTCCTCTTCTTTATGGCCAGCTAGATTAATCAGCTATTAAAATAACAGTGATTTACAATTATTCACTGTCCCTCTGTTACAGGTAATATCAGCGTAATCTGAATTGTTCTTCCCTTGTCTCTCTCCATAACCAGGCCCTTATTAATCATATGTGTCAAGAAACAACAGATCTGCAGTGTGTTTTCTTGGCCTGGGAGATGACTCTTTTTTATATTTTGCTTAGTCTTCAACTAATTAGATGTCATATTGCAGCTGAACATGATGTAAATCATCAAGCCACTAGCCAGTTTCAACTGACTACCAGACTTAAAAGCAACTGAACCTCAAATTATCAATAAATTGAAAATAGTGTGCCAATACTGCAGTTCTTGGTTCTTTGTGCTGGGAGAAACGGGATTCCTGACATACTGAACAGTTTCCAAGGGCAGATGCATGCCGTCTTCATGACTCTTTACTTCCATGAGTTTTTATCAGTAACCTTGGAAATCAAACTATCGCTGAAGCATTTTCTTTGTGTTAATTTTTCTCTGTTAAATTACAAGAGTATTTTTTAAAAAGTTAACATAAACACAATATATGCATTTTATGTTGAACAGTTTGAAAATGGACCCCTACAACCAGTAGCTAGCACTGCCACATTCCATCTAGAATCAAATCTGCATGGGCCAGTGAAAATGACCTCAGAGGGGTGAGATGCGTGAAACATCTTATATCCACAATGGCTTTTGAATTTTAAACTGGCAATGACTCCTAGACTCATGTTGCATAGCTGCTTCTCTCTTGTAACAAAAATGCAGTTCTGTAAGAATGCTCTGTGTATATATCTCAGTAGTAATGATGCCAGTTGCTGGCGGTCAAGACTATGTAGCATGGTTTCAGGTTTTCTTAGGATCAGTACAATTGTGCTGTCCCTTTGCCTGAACAAAATTTAGTTTTCTAAGTTAATTGATATATTTCCATATCTAAGTATCATGTGCTTAGCTGGTATTTCTAACAATAATGGAATTCTTTTAATACTATTTAATCACAGCTCATTTTTAAATAAGAGGGAGATGCAACCCCAATGTGAAAGGTGAGAGAGCCTTGCAGTTGCACAATCATTACCAGGTTGTATGACTAAGGGCAGACCTCTCTCAGGTGGTGGCATCTAGTGGACAGAGGGAGATTACAGGTTGCTTATTCTCTCTCACACACTCTGTGTGAGGCTACACTTGTTAAGTAGCACCAATATTGGTGTAAAAAAATAGAATCAGTATTTATTGTTTCAAAGCTATAAAATAATTAGTTTTCATTGTAGTTGTATTTGTGTATTTTTTTCTAATTTTTTCCTTTTTCAACCTGTGTAGCTTACCTTTTGGTTCAGGGGTTAGAAAGTCTAAGAAACCATGTAACTGCACAAAATCTCAGTGTCTTAAATTGTAAGTAATAATTTACCGATATTTAACAAATGCTAAAACCAGTGTATAAATGAAAGGACAAACGTACAAGAAATGTGTGCTTTAAAATGAACAGTACATATGTGTCAAAAATTACTCATCTGATACTGAGTTAGAAAGATCCACAGTTGATATAAACTAGTGTCACGCAAGCTCAGAATTTGGTGCAGAGGTGTAGATGACTGCATATAATCCGAAGTATGAAAAATAAAAAGAGAAGCTAGAAGGATTGTTCACAGCATATCTGGAAAATCCTGTGTAGAATATAAATGCTGTATACTAAAATATAATTTCTTTGTCTTGCTGATGCTCTCATACATAAATAATATGCACAGAGATGTATACACAATAATTAAAGTTTGATTAATTGATGGACTGGGTGTATTTTACAAAATGAAAGAGGGAGAAGCTCTTTGTCGAGGTTTAGATATGGTTAAATTACAGAGGAAGGAACATTTTCCATTAATAGAAACTGAACATTCTGCCTAAAAGTAGACTTTACAATTAAAAATTTATACTTAAACCGGTTAATATTTTAATTTCTTATGTTATTTTGCATGTTAATCATAGATACTGTGATTGCTTTGCCAATGGTGATTTTTGCAACAACTGCAACTGCAATAATTGTTACAACAATCAACTTAATGAAACTGAGCGATTTAAAGCCATTAAGGTAAAAAAAAAAGTACAGTACACATTGGTATCGGCCTCATGTATGAAAAATGTAGCAGTATTGTTTTTTACACTAGTTACAGTATTTGAAATATCACAGAATCACAGAATCACTAAGG